TTTTTTCCCTCTTTATCCGCTGTTGCCAAGTTCTTTAAATTTTCAGCTCCCTTCATATAGAATGTCCAGAGATGGCTTTATCTGTGCAGTATGGAAATAAAACCAAACTCTCGCAGCAGAGGAATAAAGTCAGACTGAAGGCTCAAACACTTGTCTTTTTTATGTTTTTTAGCACAAGGCCTTGTGAAAAAGTCCTCCTCCCCAGTCAACTCCTCACAAAAAGCAAAAGAAAGGACAAACAACTTATTGTTTGTGTATTTCTACATTTTGAACTCCGCTATAGTCTATTGTATAGTTTCTGAAGTTCATTCAGTTTAGGAGACAAAAAAAAAACTAACAGAAGAGATTGTAACATCTAGGGATATGGGGGGCAGAAAGTATTTCACATGACCTTCTATTCCTTATTTGCGTCAAAGAATACAATCTGAAAGGGAGGATTGGCTTTCAACAAAGTAAATATTTTCCACAATGCCGTGAATTGGCACTTTATGGACGGAGCTGATTTGAAATGTCAATCAAGTCGGCAGTTATTGGCAAAAGCTAAATTCCTTCATTACCTGAAATTGCTGTCTGCACTATGATGACCATCGGGTAATGAAGGAATTTAGCTTTACCAGAGTTTAATTGGTAGAACTGGATTTATGTACCTGCAGGAACTTTTCCTGTTGACCACTTAGCCATTCATTTTAGAGTTGATGCCATAAATACAGAATGTAATGATGTTACTTGTGCACTGGTTTATGATTGGAAGGAAATAAACGGGTCATTCACCGGCTCCTTTGTTTGCTGTCTGGCAGCTGGAAGCCCACATAAGAATTTTACCACTCATTAATCCCACAGTGTTAATCAGTATTAGGCCGACATGGTCATACTTCTTCTTTCATCAGTAGTTGTCTTTAATGACATCTCTGCTGTATTTCAAAAACAAACACACAGAACCTTGTTTAACATCAGAACAGAAAGCCTCTTAAAAAAAAACATGTGGTTCTTTGAGGGCACAAAGAGACAGTCATTTTTCTAAAAGCAAATATCAGAGTTTTTTAAAGACAAACTGGACAGACGATAATGTTTAACACAAGGTATGCTAATATATTGATTATATCATCACATCATTATATAATCCACAGATGTTTTCTGCAGAAATAAAATCATGCCTTTCCACCATACGTGGAAAAAAGAACAATAGTTTTGTGTTGTAACAGATTTTGCTAAGAGATTGAGTAAACACAGTAGACCACATTTGGGGAGACATGTCATGATGAGTTTTTCACAGAGTGGTAAATTATTTTTCTGCTTTTTTTCCTCAGCTTTGTGGAAGTCTTGTGTTTAAAGTTCGATCACCCAAAATGACCCAAAACTCGCATTTTTTATTGTTATCTTCTTAATTAAGCTTTTTCAATTAACTCAAACTATTGCCGTCTTTCTGACAAATGTAAATGCAAATGTATGCGCAGCAGAAAGGCCCATTCTTCACAGCCCAACCCTGCTCAACAGACTGTGTAAATACATACTGTGGGTAACGAATCACATACTAATGAATGTTTCTGTCTAGAGGGCTGCACCCATGCGTGCGGTGCCTGTCATTAGTATAACAGGAACATACAATGATAGTTTTTAACATGTTCTGTGAGGAGAAGAAAAATGGTTTTGAGTTTTCATCAGCGCAGTCAATTGTGTGAGGAGACAATGCTGTCGCTTTCCTTTTGGCTCATATTAGACAGTGCATAACGTGGAAAGTCTCAAAGGGAGCTGAACAAAGTCCCAGGCAGTTCACTGCAATGCTGCATAATAGCCATTTATACCAGAATGCACAGCACTGCTTCCAACTAAAATCGTATTAGGTTTAAGAGCTGAAGAATATGGGCTAACCCATTCTAATCCCACTTTTAAGGCTAAAATGTAGTAAAAGACAAAAGGATTGATAGCCTGTTTTTGTCCATAAGAGAGGCAAGAGACTGAATATGTGTGTGAGGGAGAGAAAGAGCGGGAGAGGGATAGTGACAGGGAGATAATCTCTTTTGTATTTTTGATCCCTAAATGTGGCGGTTGCATCCCCTTATCCCAGCTACTTAGTTTCTGCGCTGGGTAAGTGATGCCATGCACTTAGGCTGCGAAAAGCAGGTCAATATGACCACAGAGAGAAAACCACATGTGCACACATGGATAGCCTTGGGATTATTCCTCACAAAATGTCTTAATTCTTCTGTTCACTAATGATCCAGGGAAAATGCCCTCTAATCTCCATTCCATTAATTAAAAAGAGCATGAGCCCATGGAAAAACCTCACCATCTGCTGCAGTTTCATTTCTGCAGACAGATTGTGTTTTCAGTTTTCAACCACGGGAACTGGGGGTTTTGGAATAACCGGGTGAAGCGCGCATGGGGTGGATGGTAAACAGATACTCCACCAGAGTGTCGATTCAGTGAAAAACAGTATGAAATGTGATCTATTTGTTTTTAAAGAGGACCAGTTCATTCAAGAACTTTGTGAGGACGTTTGACAGGCTGAGCTTTTTCTGAGGAGCATTTTTTTGCTGTTATTTTAGATTGTTGAGACGTCGAATTGAAGTGATTCACAATTAACTGACTTAATCAAAAGTCTGATTTTATACAAATTAAAACACTTTTTCAAAAACTCGAAAACACAATGTATTGACTAAGATTGTGTCACACTTCCATTTCAGCTGTGCAATAGCTAATGAGTTTCTTTGTAAGTTACCAATAGAATCATTCCTCTTTACAGGGACTTTTTCATTCAGTTTTGACTAGTTCAGACTTTTGTGAGTTTGACCAAATATACAGGGAATTAATTTTAGGAAGGTGTTCCTCTCGACAATGCTACATATAACTTCAAGTGATGGGACACAGAAATTGAACGTAGCACTTTTGACCTGCGGTCAAAGCCCGGAGACTGTGGCATGAATTTGATCGGGCTAGCAGGCAGGGCAGATTATCTGAGCAGATGTCGTTTCCCCTCTATTGAAACTGTGAGGGCCAATAATAACATCCGCACACGCAGGCACACAGAAAGCACACCGATCTCAGAAACAGCCTCGTTGCCCTTGCACTTGCCTTTCTCTCTTCTCTCTCTGACAGGCAGACGCTACTCTGGTCCCAATGTCAAGTTGTTATCAGAGTATTATGCACAGTTTGAAGTCACTTTTAATCTAATCACATTAAGTTCAGTCTTCGGATGAACATGAATGCAACGAAGAAAAGGCTGTGTGGGAGATGTTTTTCGGTGTACCGTTTGGCGTTGTTCGCTTTCTTCTTGGATGCTGTTTGGGGACAGATTCGTTACTCAATCCCAGAGGAACTGGAGCACGGGGCTTTCGTCGGCAACATCGCCGAGGACCTGGGCTTGGATTTGGACAAGCTCTCTGCGCGCAGATTCCGGATAGTGTCAGGTTCCAAGAAGCAGTACGTGGAGGTAAATTTGGAAAACGGAGTTTTATTTGTGAATGAGAGAATTGACCGTGAAGAACTATGTGAGCAGAGTTTGTCCTGCTCTTTTCACTTGCAAGTGGTCATAGAAAACCCTCTGGAGTTGTACAGGGTGGAGATTGAGATTCTGGACGTGAATGATAACTCTCCTAATTTCCCTTGGACCGAGTTTAATCTGGACATATCGGAGTCTGCTGCGCCGGGATCCCGTTTCCCTCTGGAGAGCGCGCAAGACTTCGACGTTGGATCCAACTCGCTGCGCACCTATTTGCTGAGCGTAAATGAGTACTTCTATTTAGACATACAGACGCGCAGCGACGGCAGCAAATTTGCTGAACTGGTCCTGCAAACGCAGCTGGACAGGGAGCAGCAGAGCAACCACCAAATGGTGCTGACGGCTGTGGACGGAGGCGCACCGGAGAGATCCGGCACTGCGCAAATCGACATTACCGTTTTGGATGCAAACGATAACGCGCCGGTTTTCGACCAGTCGTTTTACAGGGTGAGGCTGGCTGAAAACGCACCGAAAGGCACAGTTGTAATCAAACTAAACGCATCCGATTTAGACGAGGGTCCGAATGCTGATATCACCTATTCGTTCAGCGGCCACGCTCCCATCAAAGTGCGCCAGCTCTTCAGTGTTGACGCACACACGGGAGAAATCAAAGTCAAAGGAGTGATAGATTACGAAAAAGCGAGGATGCATGAAATTTACGTCCAGGCCAAAGACAAAGGTCCATCCCCTGTAGCCGTGCACTGCAAAGTTCTGGTGAACGTCTTGGATAAAAACGATAACCATCCAGACGTGATCCTGACATCAGTGTCCACACCTGTGCAAGAGGACGCCCCCCTCGGAACTGTAATAGCCGTCATCAGTGTAATGGACAAAGACTCGGGTGAAAATGGGAATGTGGATTGCGAGATCTCAAGTCAGATCCCATTTCAACTCCACTCCTCGTTTAAGAACTACTACACACTAGTAACTTCTGATTTTCTGGATAGAGAGACAGTCGCAGAGTACAATATCACCCTCACGGCCAGAGATATGGGCTCCCCACCTTTATTCACCAAGAAAACGATCCTTGTCCAGGTGTCAGATGTGAACGATAACGCGCCTCATTTCAGACAGCCCTCATACACAGTTTATTTAACCGAGAATAACGCGCCAGGGGCATCCATTTGTTCAGTGACTGCGCTAGACCCAGATTTTGGTCAAAATGCTTATCTGTCTTATTCTATTCTAGAAGGTGACATACAAGGAATGCCCATCTCCACGTACGTGTCCATAAACTCAGACAACGGCAACATTTACGCATTGCGATCCTTCGACCACGAGCAACTGAAAAACTTTCAAATTACTGCCAGGGCTCAGGACGCTGGATTTCCGCCACTGAGCAGCAACGTGTCAGTGAGCATCTTTATTTTGGATCAAAACGACAATGCGCCCGTGATTCTGTCCCCCGTTCCGCATAACGGCACGGCACCGAGCAAGGCTGTTCCCAGGTCAGTTGACGCCGGTTACCTTGTCACAAAAGTCAACGCGATGGACGCGGACGCGGGTCAGAACTCGCGTCTTTTGTATCAAATGCTCCAAGCGACAGACCCGGGCCTATTCAGCATCGCTCTGTACACAGGCGAAATTAGGACGATGCGCCAGTTTGAGGAAAAGGAGCCCACGAGGCACAGACTGGTCATTCTGGTGAAGGACAATGGTCAACCGCCCCTCTCGGCTACGGTTTCCATCATTCTGTCAGTGGTTGACAGCCTGCCAGATTCGCAGCCCGATCTAGGTGACCTGTCACCAAGCCCGTATCACAGCTCCAACTTCCCCCTGTACTTAATCGTGGCTCTGGGCGCAGTGTCCTTCACGTTTCTAGTGGCGATAATCGTCCTCGTTGTGGCGAGGAGACTGAAGGACAGATCGCTGAGCAAAGAGTCCAGCTTCCCCTCATTCGGCGGCTGTTGCTGCCTGTGCTCACGCGCGGAACTGTCCAAAACAGAGGTGCTGAAAAAGTCCAATTTACGCATGTCCTCGGGCGCGTCTGGTTGCGCTGAGGCCAACAGCAACGGAGCAGTACCTCAGGTGTACTGCTACAAAATGTGCCTGACTCCGGAGTCATCCAAGAGCGATTTTATGTTCCTTAAACCGTGCAGTCCGGCGATGTCAGTCCAACAGAATAATGTCAAGAGTACAGATTACTTGACTTCTGGCTGGAACGCACTGGACCGGAATGAGATGTCCAATAACAGAGCAGCAACCCCAAACGAGGTAACAGCATACCACTGTCTTTATTACATGTAAATAACTGAATAATGAAAAGCTACAAAGAACAAAAAAATCTAAAATATAATGCAATTCAATTAGATTGAAGGAAAGGCTGTTCACACACTAGATTTACATCCAGCCTCATTAATTTTCTCAAAGTCTGTTTTAAACACAGAAGTAAGCAGCTTTGTAAGTTATCTACATGATCATTTTCCTTTTGATTCATGTTGTGTAAATGATGATTTAACATTAATAAGTAAAATCATCATTTGAGGTGTTATTGTATGTCAACAATGTGGCATTTGTTACAAAAAAATGCAAGATGAGAACTGCACTATTTCCACTTTTCCTAAATAATAATCTAACAGAATGCAGGTTTACTGTTGCATGAACAAGTGTTCATGCACTTTCACATTAATACATTGCACTTGAAAGCTTTTAGTGATTTAAAGTTTTTGTTCTTGTGTTGCAGCTCAAGAATTCAATCAAAGACTGGACATGGACCAAGAACGAACGCAACTCAGCATACAAGAGGTGAGTACACAGATCAGCTCCACAGTGATCCAGGCAGCATATATTTAAATGATTCATTCAGCCTTCTTTTTTCAATTTGCAGATACAGTTCAGCAAATATGGAGGGAAGCCTTTCACAACAACAAAGATATGATACGGATGGGTTTTCTTGCTCTGTGGCACCACAATACTGGACCTGGGGAAACCATATACACGGTAGCTACAGATTTTGCTTATTCTTATGAACATAAAAGAAGATGCTGCAGTGAATGACGGCTGTTTTATTTTTTTAGTTAGAGTTCGAGGGCAGTTCAGTTTGTTCTGAGATGTAAAAGGCAGATTATAACAGAAAGTTGGGTGCGGGGTGTGAGATGGGGGGTAGTTGATTGGGGGGGGGGGTTGTTTTGCACTATTACATCAAGTTTTTGCAAGGACTGCTATTCAAAATAAATTCAAAAATTAGTTGAAGTGAAAAGAGGGTTTTGAAACATATTCACATGAAGTGCGATGTATTGACATAAGGTCATTTCTGCACATTTCACAGATTGCAAGAGGTCTTTTCAAGAGGGAACAATGCCAAACTACTCATGGACTCCAAAGTACCCGCAGTCTAATTCTGAACCACCAGACTATCAGCACAATGTTTACATTCCCGGGACCACATCTGTCTACAGCACACTGAAGCTCACACCCAGGGGAGACCTTGATGTGTACAATACCTTCTCGACTTTTGGCAAGAAAAAGAAGTTCATCTCAAACTACGAAAACTCTTTCGAGACGGATGATGGCATCATAAACAATGCTGTTTTTAAATGAAATGCCTCCCACACTTTATATTGCTCTGGTATGTTTGTTGTGAATTTTATAACTGCTTGTAAATCAAAGTTAGACATTCATCATGCATATAAATATAAAGGAAGAAAATGAAAGAAGAAAACTACAGATCATTTGCACTGATATATATGTACATAATAATCATGATATAAAGAATAAGAATAAAATCTTAGTGACAGTCATGACCCTGCTGCTGGCTTGTGACCATCTTGGCTTGTGCTGCATCACTATAACACTCAACGTTCATTACATTTTGAAACGTATAGACACAAGTGAGGAGGTGTAACATTCTTGTAAATATTTCATAAAAAATAAAGAAAAATAATAAGATTTAAGTCTTATTTGTTATGTTTGTATAGATGATTGAATATAACATTACCCCAAAATAGATACATTATTCTGTATATGGAGATGTTTGTGTTCAATAAATTGTCCTTTTATTCAATATCTGAATGTTACTTTACGTTTAATTGTGCACATGGGTATTCGTTCTTTTGTAAAACTGGAAAAGGCTCAACATAATATATATGTGCAGAAAAGGATATGGGCATACTATTTGACATTTTATCAAATGTTTACAGCAAGAATTGCAGTTTGAGAGAAACAATTAAATAAAGTCAATTTACTCCTGCATTTACAATTGAGCTGTGTGTGTCATGTGACCGGAAAAGCACTGTCAATGAAATGTGGAAGAAGCTTGACTTTGTAAGGAAAATATAAAGTGAAAATAATTTAGTCGTTTTGCAGATGTTGTCATTGGCTCTATAGAGGTCTAAGCTCAGCCATAGTGTTCAGTTAAAGCAAGTTCCCATTCTAACAAAGTCACCCATAGAGATGCTGCCAGGGCAACCAAGGTAGAAAATCCCTGCCATGAGCATCTGTGTATATAAAGACGGTGGGAGAGGAATAAGCTGTGGAGCTCCGATTTAATGCTTGGGTTGTATTTTCACCTGAGGAAACCTCAGGTTTCAAACAACCTGCGGAGATTATTCGGAAGATCCCCTGGCTTTACTTGACCTGCTGTGGGCCAGAGGGTTAATCTTGGATTTACTTGAGCATGACTGCGTAACTGAACTGCTTTATGTTGGAAGAGCCAAGTGGCAGGGGCTACTCGACAGATTTGTTTCAAGCTACTGGAATAGCTGGTCAAATCGAGGAGGGATCCACTTTCCTCCGCGACTTTGGAGATCAGTAGGATTTTCAAACACAAATCCATTGAATGCAGATAATTAGACCAAGATTATCTTTTACTGGATCAGCTCCATTATAAAAAGGATCATGTTATACATGGAAAATCAAACCAGATTGTATCTGCTAATTTCTTAAAAACTTCTACCTATTTTTTTTTTCATAAATTCCCTTTTCCTACCGGGTTTATGTTTTCTAACCCTCATTGCTCAAACTATGTGACTGTTTCCCTTGCATGAACACTAGAGGGCACATTCCCCTAACAGTAAAGTGAATCCTTTTTTAAAACAACTGAACTATAGATGAGTGCATTTTGGGATCTGTTTGCGGTCACGGTTTTCTGGAATAATAAATATGTACATATAATAGCTTGTTTTTATCTCAGTGTTAATCATATAAATATTCTTTGAAAATATTTAATTAAGTTCTTTTTTAATAGGTATATGAATGCATGTAGGGAATGTTGGTGTTTTCCGTGGTTTATATTTACTTAGATATAGAAAAACAAAATTACATCTTAAATTAATAGATCCCATGTATGCTAATAAGGGTAAAGTGTGAAAAGTGTGGTTTGAAACTATAAAACAAATACTCTTTTGTTTTTGTAAAAGGCAGGAATTTTAATCGACGACATTTAAACTTGCCATTTTCCTTAATATTCCTATCATCTGTTGAGTATGATCCCACCAAATATGTCAGAGAATCTGAATGTACGCAAGGAATGCAACTGAATGATCTTTGGGTGCTCAGGGAGCACTGCATTATTAGGCATGACATTATCATGGAAATCACTGTGTTTCAAAGAATGAATGTGATAAATTCACCTTGTGTTCCAGAAATGTAAATTAAATCTTTAAAATGCAAAGAATATGATCTACTTGTGTGGTGCTCTTCTTGAGGCTCCAGATAATCTAAAATACAATGAAGCAAAGTATAAAACACTTCTTTTGTCAGATTATGTGAAATTTGACATCCTTTTTGGAAATTCTAGGCCCTCTTAATAATTGATGGGGCATCATCTGATAGATAGATAGAAAGCGGCATTTCAGCACTGGACAGCGACAACTTTTCAGCACTGGACAGCAACAATTTTGCCGAACTGGACAGCGACATTTCAGAACTGGACAGCAACATAGATAGATATGACTTTTCATTTCTTTTTTTTTCTTTTTTACATGCTCTGATGCTGCGTGGCTTTATTGTGTTGTGAGTGGTTTTTGGAATCATTAATTGCTTATTTCTGCTCTTCTTTTGAATGTTCTTTAGGGGGCTGGGAACCAAAGTTCTGATCTACCACCCTCAGAGGGGGGTCAATAAAAACTAACTCTGAACTCAGAGAGTGAAGTTTAACAACAATGCCTCCCAGGAATTTATTGAAAAAGGGTTGTTTGATGCACTTCTGAGTTGACAGTGGCCAGAGCTCTCAGTTTGGAGAGACTTGACACCCTTTCCTGCACTTATACGTCAGTAATTACTTTAGATTCAGAATATGTGTGGTAGAGGATGATCAATACCTGGAGTGTACATTTAGAACTTGAATTTGCTTCCTGGCCACAGTAAAATTACCTAATAAGACCATTCATTCAACATTCAAGCTAATGATATTCCCATGCTATATGAGCTCTTGACTAAAAATGTTTTGGTATAAATCATGTTATTAGAGAAAATATCACATTTAGGTATGGACAAAAAGCTTTGGTACGTGCATATGTTTCCATATGTATTCTTTCTGAAAAAAGCAAGCCAGCTGCTAATGTGCTGATGAATTCCTGTTAAAAAGGACAACTATCTTAGTATCTTGAGGTTTTTTTCATGTTAAATAATATTTTCTAATGCTCAATTTTTTCTGTTAAGCTCCCAAAGATTGAGGGGCAGCAAAATCTACATCCAACTTCCTCTGTTTCTAAGAGTTTTTTATTTATTTACCAGTACTTACTTTTTCATGGCCAGAAACCTCCATCCATTCATCTATTATCTGAACCGCTTATTCCCAAATAGGGTCGCAGGGGTACTGGAGCCTATCCAAGTGTTCAATACACCCTGGTCATTGGCCAGAAACGTAAATCTTGGTTAATCAAGATTCAATCAGGTGAAAGACGATCTTTTTTTTTTCACACAAAATACAAATTGTTGATTTGTTTAACTACTTCCGGCATGGGCACCATTGACTTTGATAGAGGGAGCCCTCCGATCCTCTTGGGGCTGTGCACGCCCCTGCAAAGCGTAGCTGTGAAAGCTCAGCTCCTCCAGCGCACTGAGCCGTAGATGGCCCGCTGCAGATAGAGCTACAAGAATGACACCGGTGCTCCCCTGTATCGAGACTATTTGACCGTAAGAACGTATTTGATTATTTTATCTTCTTAAAGCAGCATAACGATGGCGTGTTTTTGCGCACCTTCACCGACACGGTCAGTCGTGGCTATTTCAACGTTCATTGCACTGTGGGGATTTGCACTGTCCATCACTCGGTACTCTATACCAGAGGAAATGGAAGAAGGTTCCTTTGTTGCCAATCTAGCAACAGATTTGGGTCTGGATGTTCGCAGTTTAGAGGAGCGCAACGCGAAGCTCGATGTGATTCACAGCAAAAATTACCTGGACATCAACAAAGACACGGGGGAGCTGATAATCCGCGAAAGGATGGACCGGGAGACCATATGCATGACTAAAACATCCTCGTGCTTTCTGAAAATGGATGTCATACTAACGAACCCGGTGCGCATTTTTAACATCGAATTAGAAATCATGGACATCAATGACAACGCGCCCGTGTTTCGCCGAAAGACAATGCACTTGGATGTTTCGGAGACAACCCTTCCCGGTGAGAGATTCTCATTGACGAACGCCGTGGATGCAGATGTGGGGGCGAATTCAATCAAGACCTACTATCTCAGCGAGAGCAAATACTTCAGCATTGACATACAAACCGGCAGCGATGGCTCTAAATACGTCGATTTGGTGCTTAGTGGTAATTTGGACAGAGAAGAGCATGCAGTTCATAATTTGATTTTAACCGCTGTGGATGGAGGGGTGCCTGCCCGCTCCGGTACGGCCAGCATCATTATCAACGTCTTGGACATCAATGATAACGCCCCCCTGTTCAGTCAGCCGGTTTTTGCCGTCAATGTTTCAGAGAACTCCGCGATAGGGACCGTGGTTATGACCTTAAACGCGACTGATTTAGATGAGGGCACAAACGCCCAGTTAGTGTATTCGTACACACTTTACACCTCAGAGAAGACGCAGGAAATATTTTCTCTAGATCCAAGCTCTGGTGAGATAAAAGTAAAAGGGGTGATTGATTATGAAGAGAGCCAAAGTTTTGAGATGCACATACAGGCTCAGGACGGAGGGACAAGCCCACTGTCAGGACACTGTAAAGTCACAGTCTCCGTTACAGATCTGAATGATAACTATCCTGAAGTGACCATCAAATCCTTAAAAAGAGCGGTGAGTGAAGACGTCTCTGTGGGGACACTGATTGCCGTTGTGAGTGTCAGTGACAGGGACTCAGGTGTGAACGGGGAAGTGGAGCTCACCTTGAACCGGCAGGAAATCTTACCATTCATCCTCAACAAATCCTCAGAAGGTTACTTTGAGATGCTGGTGTCGAAGCCTCTTGACAGAGAAGTAGTGAGCAAATATGACATCACACTGAGAGCGACAGACAAGGGACTGCTGCCCTTATCTGAGAATGAGACCATCACCCTGGAGATCCTGGACGTCAATGACAATGCACCCATGTTTTCTCAGTCCGTCTACACGATCCATGTTGTGGAGAATAATCCGCCGGGGGCGTTATTGACATCGCTAAGTGCATTTGACCCCGATCTGAATGAGAACCAGTATTTGGTGTATTTCATAATGGAGAAAGAGATAGTTAACACGTCTATGTCAATGCTGTTCTCCATCAATCCAGAGAACGGTGACCTTTATGCCCTGAAGACCTTCGACTATGAGAGAGAGAGAGACTTCCTGTTTCACATCGAGGCCAGAGATTCTGGTGTTCCGCCACTGAGCAATAATGTGACCGTTCATATCGTCATTCTCGACCAGAATGACAACACACCTCAGATAGTTTCGCCGTGGCGAGCGCAAGGCTCTGTAGTGACGGAGGTTATACCAAGATCCACAGAAAAGGGACACTTAATCGCCAAAGTGATCGCTATTGATGCAGACTCTGGTCAGAATGCCAGGGTCATGTACCAGCTCCTGCAGATCAGCGACTCCACCCTTTTCAGCCTGGATCAGCACAATGGCGAGATTCGAACAACTAGGATGTTCAGTTATAGAGACCCAAGACAGCAGAGGCTCGTAGTGATTGCCAAAGACAATGGTGATCCAGCTCTGTCTGCCACCGTCACCATCAAGATATCAACAGTGGAACACGCCATGCCTTTCTTAGAGACTACAGAGTTACCTCTTGAGTTTGATGTCTTCACAGACCTAAACTTATACTTGGTGATCGGTTTGGGAGCTGTATCGTTTCTGCTGCTGATAACCATCTTGGTGATAATCGTACTCAAGTGTCAAAAACCAAAGCCAAAGCCCATGAAGATCCCCTCGGCCAGTAGGAACAGTGTGATCAGCAGAAACAGCATGATCAGCCAGAGAAGCTCCACCATCGCAGATTCCACCCTGATCTCCAGCGATGCCTACTGGTACAGCTTATTCCTTGCTGAGACCAGAAAGGGTAAAGTGGTTGTGAGACAGCCCATAATTCCAAAAGGAGCTGGGTATTTTGTATCCAGTATACCCAGGAGCATAGGGCCAAGTGAGACCACAGACTCCAGAGCATCGACACTAGAGGTACGTGGAAATAGTTGTTTGGTTTGGAATAGAATATCTACTAACAATTACAACTTAGGGTATATTTAACTTGATTGAATATTAATTTTGCTTTGAAAAATAAAGGGAATTAGTATGTTTTTGCTGTAGGTTGTTATTCATATTTTCATTACCTTTAGGAGCAGTGGTATTCACATTCCATATTATATAGTTGTCGGGGGACTGAGAATCTTCTGACCACATACTGTATATACCTACCTGCCTGTTACACTAATCAAAATATATATATATTTATACATTAAAACAGTGTCTTAGCATATTTCAATATCACCACAGTATTGTTTAATAAAGTGCACTTTAACATGTAATTAAAAAAATAACTTAAAACACTCAATTATTGAAATGCAGACAAAATAAAAGATGAAATTTCAAAATTGGCAGAAGATTGAATAATTGCAATTGCTATATTGCTGGTCTGGAAAATTCTGGTGTCTGTTAACCCAATTCCAGTGAGAAAAGATGTCAGCATTGATCGTAGAAAAGCAATTATTTCCTTCAGTCTGGGGATGGCTATGAAGCCCATCCCCCATAATGTGGAGTGCATTATTCTAAAAGACATTATATTCATAACAAGAGGAAAACATTCATATAGTGCACAACTTAAAGTGACTGTAAAACAAAACGTAACAGCTATATCTCAGATCCTACAAACCTCATTTAGTATGTTCACTGTAAGAGGTTATAACTAAATCGGAAAAAGATTAAATTTGGTTTGTTGTGAAAGCTTTTATTATAAGAAAATGGCAGCATAACTTCGGTCTGCATGTTTGGTATCAGTCATGAACTTTTTTATGCCAAAGTAATTTTGGAGTCAAATGTGACGCCATCTGTCTAGCAGCTAAAGCCTGGCTGAAACTGGGTCATGCATGGGACAGTTATCCAAACACAGCTGCAAATCCTCAACAGAATAGCAGACAAAAAATCAAGGTGATGCAATGGTCCAGTCAAAGTGTAGACCTCACACTGGCTGAAATACTTTAGTGGGACCTTAAAGCAGCTGTGCACAACCACATATCTGAAAACTTAACAATGGCCTGCAACTATTTGCTAAGACTGCTAACAATAAAGTGTTTTTGCAATGTTCATCTATGATTTACTTTTACCTATCAGGTGGATTTATTATATATTATCTATTGAGTTTAATCAGTTCCTAGATTTTAGATGAAGTTAGATCAATTTCATATAAATTTAAATACTTTCTGAATTCATTTTTTTTTATGTTTTAATCTTTTTTTCCAAATAGGAATTGAGCTCAAATTTAACTTGACATGTTTGTTTTTTAATTCTTTTAATTCACATTATGATTGAAGTATATTCATGCTTCATATTGGTAAAAACACAACACAAAGAAAATAAAAAAAGGATTTTTAACAATTATGACTGCAACTTCATTATTTGTTTTTATGCTCCATACAATGGTTAAAGTAACATTTAGATATAGTTAGAAAGAACTCCTACTGGTTTTCTTGAATTATATCTCTGAATTGAATTAATAATTAGGTCAACTACATCATTAACAACCTTATCATTACCCTGCCTGCCAAATCTGCCAGTGTTTGATGTCTTGGAATATGCGGGTCATGTATTGCAGATACAGAACATAAGACACAATCATAACACAAATTGTAGGCATTACAGAGAGAGGAGGGGGGGGCCACAAAGAAGCCTAGATAGGGAGGTCTTTATTTCAAGGACAAGTGTTATCGCCCCACTAGATTGGACGCTTTCTGAATCCTGAGCAGCATTCTGGTACACGGTTTAAAGAAAGGATTGAGATAATATTTTTCCCAAATGGACCTACATTAAACATTATGAATATGCATGCAAAGGTGTACATTGATGAAAAAGTACACACTTATGTATATATTTTGTTGTAAGTACCACACATCCAACTGAACTTGTTTCTTTTTTCTGTTCTGAAGTACTCAAAATGAAAGGAAGTCCATTCTTCAACTGGAGGTATGCTGGTTACTAAATACAATTTATGGAGCCACTCTGATTGTTTCGATATTGCTCTGTCTATTTCTATTTGGTCTACATGTTTGGTTTGACTAAAAACTTTCATTTTTTGAATTGTCAGTTTTTTAAGCAAATATTTTCCCGATCAAATAAAACAGAATCAAATATTTCCATTCGTGACTGTTCAGATTTTCCCTCACAAATACGACAATCTGCTCTAATCAAATGCTACTGTGAGCACTCAATTTGGGATTAGCTGGACTCTTCAGTGAGACAACCCATCAGCCTATATTGACAGCCTGGATTAGAATCAAATTGGCTGTTGGTCAGGTTTCTGCTATGCCTGTCTGGCCTGCTTCAGGACATTCAGGCCAAAGTGATGGCACAAAAAAAAAATTAGGAATTAGGAATTACTGTTCCCAAAAGACTCCATACAAATGTGTAATCTGTCCATCTTTGCATCTCTGCAAACAAACAAAAGGTAGAGCTTTTTTCAGTGCAGAACTGAAGTTTATTACTTGTAAATTTGGTTGACCAACACAAAGAATAGCACATAACGTAACAACATAACAACTGCTTGTGCATGCTTCCATTTTATTTAGGTTTTGGATTTAATTCTGATTTGTATTCATTATTTCTAATGATTATTCTCAAACCTAGAATTGAGGGTGAAAAAAGACACTCAAACACACAAACAGCTCTTGATTTTGCCTTGATTCTAAATTTCTCTGAAATCTGACGACATACCACTGATGGTGGCAGTAACCAGTCACAATCCACTGTTGCATGAGTGAAGACTTTCTATGAGCTTGAACTGATGTGAACTTGCTGTTTTGGCTAATTATACATTCTGTCCCTCAGCAGGAGCCTAGGAGAAAGCTGCGGTGATATAACCATCTCCTCACAAGAGACTGAATGAAACTCTCCTGAGACTCACAAAGAAGATGTAAAACAGTTGTCCTCCCTCGGCCACTCCACCACAGCTCTTGTTCTTTCTGGTTCTGTCAGTCCAACACACAGGCGTCGACCACAAATCGCCTCAACTGCTACCATCGTTATTCTTTAAGCATGATACTGCATGATTCTACAAGTATTCGGACAACGAATCCTTCCCAGCAGGATGTCCAGTCCTCATTGAATAGGCGTCATATTGTAACTCATTCCTTGCTTAACTCTTCTAACCTTTTCAGTGGACAACTCTGTCCTCTCTCCAGGGATTATGCTGTACTATAGCTGTAGAAGCCATCAGTGTTTCACACTATACTTAAGTTACTGTCATGCTACTGTTTTTCCTTCTTTTTTTTTATGCTGGAGCTTCAAACACGCCTATGAATCAGGGAGAATACGTTACTTCCATGGATCGTATTTTTATTAACTCCGGCCTGGAACTTGGTGTTTTTGTTTTTCAACATCTGAGTTTTTCTGTGTCGTAAGGCTCAGTGCGTTACTTTATAACTTTTAAGAACATTGTTTTGCTCAACAGGATCTGAATGTCCGAATGAAAATGAAAAAAAAAGAATGAATGAAATCTGTAAAATTGTAAAAACAAACCAAAAAAAAATTAGAAGACGTATTGTTTCTATTCCTATTTGATTGTAGACGGTGTATGTGTGGTTATATAGGAGATGTAATGAGGTCAGAAGAGCATAAAACATTTGTTTGATATGCTCTTTAAAATGAAATGTTATTAATCAGATCACAGTTTAGTATGAAGTTGAATACAGTCGGTTTGTCTCTGCCTGGGAAATATATAACTGTAAAAAACATCATGAAAAAAGGGGGTCAAACACCATTTATACTGTCTTTTTTTCCTTTCCCTAAAAGTCAACCATTCTAAACAGATCTGCTTTCAATCGTTACATAAATATAAGATAAAAAAATAAAATCCATTAACATAAGTACAGGGAAGATTTTTGAAAAAGTTTATAATTACAAAAGTAAGAATATCAAAATCTACTTGTCTTTGCCAGGGTACAATAGGAAATAAGGCACAGACAAGGTGTTGTTTTATTAATATTCATGTTTTTATATAGATTTTATGTATTATCTCTTATTGCTGCTTTTGTGAGCTTCTTTAAGGGCATTTTGTGTTGCATATTTGTAGTGTAGTGCATATGGTGTAGTTTTGGTATAGTACTTAATTGAAAAAAAAAAGGAACAAGAACACTTTTCTCAAACTCAAAAGTAGTGTTGCTACATTGCTGTTAAAGCCAGGACTTTGATTGGTGAAAACAAGGAGTTTATAGAGGCCACTCTTTAGGATGCTAAATGATAAAATGCAACAGCATGAGGTGAGAAGATTGGATTATGAGAAGAACATAGTGTTAATTATAACTGCAGCACTTCAGTGCTGACTCTGCAGGCAGTGCATGCAATGTATTAAGCAGATGACAGCACTTTGAATTTGGGATATGCACTGAATCTAAATGTGATCACAGCACTCCCTCTGTTATGCAGAGTGGAGAGAATATTTCTGGAAGTATCCATCTCCATACTCTGAGTCAGTGAAATTTAACCTCCCCTTTTTCTCCTCTCTTACTCTCTCAATCTCCCCACCTTTGAAAGCATCGGGCAGGGGTTTCTTTCAAGCTGAGGATGTTACGTGATGAGGGATGTCTTTCTGTCTTGTACATGAAATTCTGTATGTGCAATCATCACCAAAGCTGAGCGATTCCAACAGTGTTATAGAGGTATATAATTGCACATATGATGAGCTCTATGCGTGCCTTCTGTATTGTAAAAGATGACTGTTGAAGACTGAAATATCGGCATTTCTAATAGTATAATAAATTACAGTTACTCCCATGATACAGTATCCTAAACTGCTTGTTCGGTAGGGACAGCTTATGGATTCAGATGTAGGCGTATCTATTGTAAATTGAACCGATTTATACTTTGTGTTTTTATACAGTTGACTTTTTTTATATCTTCTGTATTCACTGTGATTGAATGGCACAGGAAGTGCTTGTGCTCAGTGTTTTAAGGGTTTTGCTATTTCTCATTTGTGTACACTGCTCATTTTCTTTTCCGCAGCTACCTTGCCAATCAAAGTGTACAGTAGGCTTCCAGAGTCGCATCAAATGACCTCCAGTTACATCCCACTTCGCAGATTAAAAGACAGTATGGGTGAGAATGGTCTCGTTTTACTTTCATGTCTTGTAACTGACAGATTTTGATGTTGCTTATTTGGCTTAAATGTATTGCTTGATTATACTAGTTTGAATAAAGCTTTTTAATCTGTCTTTTTCGTGTCCGTGGTGAAGAATGACATGAATGTGATGCTAAAGTTCCCTGACACGCATACACACACACATTTTGACCCAGTTTCTCTTTATAACACTCTGTACTCCTTCTTAGAAATTGGCAACTAGATAGACGACATGGGCCTGCAGTTTAAATGGCAGAAAAATAGCAGCTCTGTAAAGATTAGTGGAAAAATTGTGCAAAATTGCATTGCAGTCGGGGTATCTTTGCTGTGACCACATGGCATTTTCGGTCTTGTGTACATGACTATAAATAAGAAACAATAATTTAGTTCAAAATCCTATGCCATTGTGATTAATAGAAATCTTCAGAAGATGTTCCTGTGTTTTCAAACTTCATTTTAGAGAGATTATGTGGTAATATCCTTATTAAAAGCAAGTCTTACCATTCCAGGTAAGGCATCTATTGAGTAGCCAAAGTGGAAAAGAAAAAGTTGAGATGCTGCGCTAAAAGTCCTTCCTAAAGAGAAAATGTTACTCTGAAGGCCTAGAGGCCCTAAATTTACTTGTGCTTTAAGAGAATCTGAAGTAGGTCAGCAGAAATAAGCAGTGCACCTGTGGCTACATTCATGTGTGCTGAGCATTGCTGCCATCAATTCTTCTTGCTGCTGGGCAATGCTTTCAGAGTGGGCGCCGTCCATTGTGCCAAAAACATCCCAGCTATGCTAAACCAGGACAAGGAAGTGCAGATCCTTGCTTTTGATTTTTTTTTTTTTTATAATTACCAACTACTTTTCGAGATGCCAAATCTCTTTTTTTCCATATCTATCATTGACCATATGGATTCATAACAGCTCAAAGGGACTCAAATAATATGAATGACATTAAATTAAATGGCTATTCAGCCCACTAATCAAGCTTGGCTGTCCCCTCACAGCCCAACAACATGTGCTGAACTATGATGACCCGTTTCTTTGCCAAGAGTGGTTCAAGTGGTTTAATTTTTTTCCCTTTTTTTGTTTTTTTTGGTCATGACAAGTCACATGACCATCAACAGCCTTTACATGAAGTTGTTATTGTCTTTGCATCCGTGCGTATATATAGAACATTGAAGAAGGTATGTTTTCTTGTTTGCAGACAATGAAAGTAGCATAAAAAGCTGCAGCATTGAGAAGAAAATTCAGTGAGGAGGAGGTTACAGTAAACCACCCATTATGTATTATCTCTATGCTGGGCTGCATTGCTTTCATATAAAGTCTTTGTGCATCATCATAAATAATTATACAATCTGTCTCCCTCACGGTGAAAAATTGCTTTTGTTTGCATAATTCTAGACCAGTGGACTGCAGTGTATTGATCCAGTAAGTGTTTTCACTGCAGACTACAGTGCGTTTTTCATACTAAGAACCGTTGCTCAAATTGGATATACTCAGAGGTTTAAGGAGCTTAAGCATATTTTAACCAGATAAGATGGATTTCTCCATGTGGTCTAAATGTTATCACTTGAAATATTGTAAAATAGCTTTCAGTGTTTATTGGGTCAATCGTCTGATTTATTCATTCAAAACTTGAATCTGAAACTGTGCTGTAGCAGAGCTAAACAGCACCAGGTCATTTCACCTGCTGCTGACCAATAAACTGACTAACTCCCGACATTCTGTATTTGCTGTTAGACAACACGTTCAAAGATGATGACAGTTTAAGTGTTTCATCCCCAGTTTAAGTATTGCCTTTTGGAAACTGCTTTGCTTTTAGAACTGAAACATCATCAGTCAAAGTGTCAGACATGCTGTGAATGCTTGACCCACTTGTGCCACTCTCTGACTGGAGCCCATGCACAATGGGGTCATGAGTCTTATCACCTAGGGCTTTAATCCGCACAGCAGTGGAAACGGAAAGCTGAGGACATCCCCGGCAAGTGTCTAGTGATGTGTGGCTCCAACAGCGTTCGTAGGGGAAAATTGATGCATCATTCATCTGATTCAGAGACGGGGATGTGAGAAAAAGATAAAACAGTCATTCCACTGCTGCGGAAATTGATATGAACAGAGTGTCAGTCTGATTTGGAGTCGCACAATGGACACGACAGGACAACAAATCTGTTACTGCATCCGTAAAATCCACCATAAAAAAAAAAAGCCCCGAGATCTCCACGGACGACGTCTGTCTCGTTCTTTTCGTGTAACATTCCGTTTACATCTGTTGAGGCAAATGATGCTGCGTATAGAGGAGAGTAATTTTCTGGCCGCTGATGTGTAATCGTGAATAATATTCCAGGATCACACTCATAGGGAATCCAGTGAGTCATGGTGTGATAGTGAGTGATAATCTGAAGGCTGGTCTGACAGAGTGCTAGGATGGAGTTGAGTGTGCCGGGATTCAGACTCAGATTCTTCTTGTGTGACGCCCCTGGCAGGTTATCTAAGTGCACGACTGCTGAGGGGGTTGCTGATGCACTTGCGTGGGCCATTCTACGCTGTCTGTGTTAGATCACGGTAAGTAACTTAGAATGCAAGACAGACCGAGCTGTTTGGTAACATGATGTTGCCTGCATAGAAAAATCCAGAAGCGTCTGTCTTGTATATGGCCTGTAACTGTCACGCCGCAGTGATATTTCCGGCTCAAATTGTGAGACACAGACTTGCTCAGAGATTCAGTTCCGTCGTCTTGCGGAATCGCTTAAGACAGAAATATAACCTTAAATTTGGATATCCATTCAGGCTGGCGTTGCTATGGAAACCCACGTCTTGTGCAACAAATGCAAAGCTCTTCTTACAAGCAGGCTGCTGAACAATCGTCCGCACATTTGAATATCCTTTGATTCCAAATAAAATATGAGGTGTAATTTTTACACGTCTAATAAGACCTGACTGCCCTCTTTCCACTTGTATGCCTTGTTTGCCTAGCCTTCACATCTATTTCCTCCTTTTGTTTCTCTAACTGCGATACCTGAATCATAGTCTTACGTATGACTGACATTAATTGTGGATTAATTATTTGCAAGAGACAAAAAACTATTTGAATATTACAGCATCAACTACTTGCTTTCTTTTTTAAGCATGTGAATTTCCCTCATTTCATGCAGTCATCCTTTGATCTTTCCTGTTTTTAAGGCTATGGAGAAACTGAACAAAGCTGCGTGTATGTTTTGGACAGATCTGTTGAATTTGGCCTCACTCGACGTACAACACTCTCAAACTGAGACGATAATGTACACTCCTCACTTTCAGTGGTTAGCTGTTTATAAGAGAGTTTGCAGCTGTCTTTCTTTACTCCACTAAAAGATTTTTACTCTTAGATAGAGTCGTGGTTATTGACCTCGCAGTATCTGTTTCTACCCGATTTGTTATGTTCTACTTGCCCCTCTAGTACACATAAGGAGAAGCAGACTTAAATGTCTCAATCCTCAAATTCGATCACAGTTGACATTTTCATTTTTCAAGAGGTTTTAAAAAATAGCCTGATCATCTTTGCTTTAGGCTTAAATCAATGCAACAGTGGTACACTGACACTTAAAGACAACACGCAGAGTCAGACAGTTCCTTTCTAAAACAGACAACAATCCAAAACACGTTAGGTTTTGTCTGTTTACTTCAAAGTAAAACATCAATTCACATCACTTTTTGTACATTATATTCAAATTATGTATAAAAGCTATACATTTATGATGATATGATTTTGAGGATCCTCAAATCATTCTATCATTATACATGGTCCTGGTATTTCAAGCACATATAATTGAAAAATATGTAGTATGTGCAGAATCCAAAATGTTTCTCTTTGAAGTCCCCTGAATTTTCTGTTGAAGCTTTAAATGTCCATGCCTTTACACTTTACACTCATTGGTGTAATTCATATTCTGCCTTTATACTTCTGCAATAAAACATGCAGGGATTTATCAAAGAATGAGACTCATTCATGTTCCTAATGTCCAAAAATTGAAGCCGAATGATAATTGTTACTCATTTGCTATTTTAATTTATTATGGTCTTTTCATTTGTTTTTCTTTTTTTTTTTGTTGTTTTGGTTCCCAGAAGGAAGATTGTGGAGCTCATTAACAGAACTATGGTCTGCAGAAGTAAAAAGAAAGACATAAGGAACAATGAGAGGTGCTTTTTGTCTAAAAAATTATAACATAATGCCTGTTATGTTTATCCTCTGGTCTCAATATCATTTTTTTCAGCCTCCTTGTGTCGGTGTCCAAATAATGCTGAAGCCTATCATGTTTCTCTTCGGGGTATATGGGATGAAATTAGATTCGTGTTCTTGCATTATGGGGTCCACCGTGGGTAATCTTCAAAACGGTGATGCGACCTGACAGGCTAAGGTCCGCCGCTGACAGTGATCCGTGTGTAGGGAAGGTTGCGAATGTCAGGGCAATGCTGTCTTTCCGCTGCGCCTTGCCCAAATGCTCGCCATGCGGTAGGCTGCGCCTCGGAATATAGCTACCGGCAAATTAACCACCCCTTGCGTCTGGAGTACAGACAAAGGACGACAGACATCAGGCACAACCCAAAACATGTGTCCGTGTGACCACGGCTCCTCTTTTTTGGATATCACATATCTGCAAAAGGAGCGAGACCTTATCCTTATTAAATGACTGTGATATAACATGGGCTATTTTAGTAAAATATTTACCTTAAACATCTATCATTAATATTTCAGTCACGTGCTGAATGTCCACATTTAGCAGATGTAAATCAAATGTGGAATAAACAAACTGGTGTCACTGGGTGCATGTGCTATTTGGGCTTTTTTTTTTTTGCAGTCGCCATTGTTCGTTTTTTTTTAATGATACAAGTCGTCTGGTCGCTTACAAACCCTACACAACATCGGAATGGAGGGAAGAAAGGAGAGAAATGGGTGTGGAGGGAGGAGGGAAGCTGCGCCACCATGGAGAGCTGAAGTCTGAGCGCGCGCCACAGTGGAATGCTGCCCCTTCCAAGTCAAGTCAGCCATTCTCAGTTGCCCAACTTCCGGTTGTGTATCAATAATAATGCTACACGTATTGGGCACTGACAAAGCTCCTGTTAAATCGTGGGGGGTGCACATATACAGTTGTGACGCTTAACCTTTCACTTCAATGCATCCTCTCAAACAACCAAAAGAACACCTTAATGTGCTTGCCATTTTATAAACAAGCTTTCAGCAAACGCTTTTATTCTGAAATGTCCCCGCTTTTCCGTCTCTTGAAGCGTGAATTGAGACAGGCTTGACTATCTCACAGCTCCAGCAGCGGGGAAACACACCCGTCAGCAGCGCGCACTGGAGACAAAAAAGCGCATCACGGACAAAAGGAACATGGATGTGCTGGAGAGGATTCGCCTCAGCCGGGTAGAGCAATGGATGAGCCGCTTCTGTTCCATTTACCGGGAGAACAATTAGCCCACCTTAATGAGGTGCTGGGAATCGAGATACTGCAAGCTGAAAAGGCGGAAAACTGCGTTTAATCCGTCTGCGGATCCTGTGAGCTTGCGATGGCTGTGGCGGGGATATGCAACTGGATAGGGAGTAACGTGCCTTTTTATTTTGTGCTATTTACCTTATTTTGTGGCCTTTCGTTCGGACAGTTGAGATATTCTATTACAGAAGAACTAGAAAATGGGGCACTGGTCGGCGATCTGGCGCACGATCTGGGGCTGGATATTCGAAAGCTGGCCACCCGAAAAATCAAGGTAACCTCCAACAGCGGTAAACGCTATGTGATTGTCAACCCCAAAAATGGGAAATTGCTCGTCAATGAAAGGATCGACAGAGAGGTGCTGTGCGATATGTCCAGCACCTGCTTCATTAATCTGGAGGTGCTGGTCGAAAATCCCACTGAGGTGCATCATGTTGAGGTGGAGATCGTGGATGCTAATGACAATGCGCCGCAGTTCCCCCGAGATGAGTATCAATTGGAAATCACAGAATCTGCTTTGCCGGGGTCTCGTTACCCCATTGAAAACGCTCAAGATCCAGACATTGGATCCAATTCAGTCCGTATGTATCAGCTTAGCACAAACGACCATTTCGCGCTGGTATCTAACAAACCCTCCCTCAACACTAAGCACATCGAGCTTGTGCTCAAAAAGCCCCTTGATCGCGAACAGACGCCTTACCACCAGGTCATTCTAAGTGCTGTGGATGGTGGAACGCCAGAGAAAACAGGAACAGCCATAATCAACGTCCGGGTCCTGGACTCAAATGACAACGTTCCCATGTTCGACAACTCGGTGTACAAGGTAAAACTACTGGAAAACTCGCCCAAAGACACCCTGGTGATTAAACTGAATGCAACTGACCTGGATGAGGGCACAAATGGGGAGGTCTATTACTCTTTCAGCAGCTATACACCTGAGCGAGTCCGGCAGATGTTCAGCATGGACACTAATACTGGAGAGATAAGAGTGAGGAGCAATGTTGACTATGAAGAGACCAACTCCTATGAGATGTATATCCAGGCTATGGATAAGGGCCCTGGGGCTGTGGCGGCACACTGTAAGGTGGTGGTCGAGGTGGTGGATGTGAATGACAACGTCCCTCAGATAGTGCTCTCATCCCTCTCCAGCCCAGTGAGGGAAGACGCCCGTGCCGACACAGTTGTGGCCCTCATTAGTGTAACCGATCGAGACTCAGGCGCCAACAAGCAGGTGAGCCTAGAGATCCCGGCAGGCCTTCCATTCAAGATCAAGTCATTCAGAAACTACTACACTCTGGTTACCTCAGCCTTCCTGGACCGCGAGACCACTGATGCCTACAATGTAACTCTGAGTGCCACAGATGGAGGGAATCCTCCCCTGTCTTCCCAGAAAACCATACAGGTGGATGTGGCTGATGTTAATGACAACCCACCGCGCTTTGAACAAACTTCATACACAGTCTATGTGGCTGAAAACAATGCCCCCGGGGCATCTTTGTGCACTGTGAAAGCTCAGGATGCAGACATCAAAGAGAATGCACGCATCACCTACACAGTGCTCAATGACAACAACCATGGTATTCCTGTCACCTCCTATGTGTCTGTGAAGGCCGATACAGGCGAGGCTTATGCCCTGCGAGCCTTTGACTATGAGTCACTGAGAGAGTTTCATTTCCAGGTCAAAGCCCAGGATGGGGGCATTCCTCCACTCAGCCGAGTCGCCACAGTCTACATCTACATCATGGATCAGAATGACCACGCTCCGCTGATAGTCAATCCTCCCGGCAACGGGACACGCTCCTTGGAGACGGTACAAAAGAACGCAGAGCCTGGTGTCTTGGTGACCAAAGTTGTGGCATATGATGCAGATGCCGGTCCAAACGCTTGGATGGTCTACTTGCTGGACACAGCAACGGACCTGGACTTGTTCAAAGTGCACGAACACACTGGAGAGATCAGGACCACCAGGAGGATCCTGGAGGACAACTCCACGTCGTTCGCTCTCACCGTTGTTGTGAAAGACCACGGCCAGCCTGCCCTCTCCTCCACGGCCACCATCAATGTTGCTGTCATGGAGGTGCCACCAAAAGTTGTTCCTGACCCGAAGAAGACCATGCGACCTCACAGCCCACTGCTCCTCTCCAACATGACCCTCTATTTGATCGTGGCTTTGAGCGCGACAACCTTTGTGTTCCTCGTCACTGTGGTGGTGCTCGCCATCGTCCGCTGTCACGCCTACTGCACCCAGCCCGGATCCTGTTCCCCTTGCTGTGTGTCCCAGAAGCCTCCTCCAGATGGTGGGAGCAGCAGCGTGAGTGCTGGTGGGCCAGGCGGTGGCGGAGCCCCAGGACAGCCTAACAACAATGTAGTGCTTCGCAGAGACCTCAAAGTGGAGCCTCACTACATAGAAGTGCGTGGCAACGGCTCCCTGACGAAGACGTACTGCTACAAGACCTGCCTGACAGCCACCTCAGGCAGCGACACCTTCATGTTCTACAACACAGGGAGGCCCATCAGTGGCACCTGGGGTAGCGGCGCTGATCGTTTCTTCACCAGTGGAAGTGGATTTGTACGGAGACTGAGCATGCCAGATGCCTCACTGCAAATCTGCCCAGAGGTGTGTCATTCATTTTTTATGTTTACCTTTTCCCACGTAACCAATGGTCATGATTCATCATGTTTAAAAATGTTTACCATAGTACTGACATTTTATTTAGCTGCAACAGCATTTAAGACTTAAACAATCTTGTTTGGAAAATGCTATATTTATTTAATGAGCATGATTTGTCTTACCACACACAGATGTTTGATCTTTTCTTGAAGTGAATGGTGTCTTTGCAGCCTTCTCTCTCTTTGTTCACTGGTCATTCGTTCTATGCAGTCAAGCGGTCGTGCCAAGCTCAGCACTCATTTTGCATTAGTATCACATGTGACGCCTCTCAAGAGACTGCATCATCGCTGGTGAATAGGAGATCTGTGCTTTGGTTTGAGGTTGTCATCACATCTATCCAACAAATGCATCATGTGCTAGCAGCTCAGGGTATTATTTTTATCTGCATATGTGTGTGAATGAGTAAAATGGAGCAGTTAAATCTAAGTTGTTACATTTAAGACCTTTTCAAAGCCACCACAGGCAGTTTCTGAGAGATATTTATATTTTGGTGTGTATGTGTGGTTATAGGACTGTACGCATTGTCAGAGAGTCCATAATAGTGCTACAGTTTTGTTACCATATTAGGATTATATCTGAGTGAAAGAACCAACTCTATCTGTTTATAATGGTAGTGATAGCCTTTTTATTGATTTCCCATCCTTTATAATATTATGAGCAACAAAGTGGCGTGTTTAACCTGGTTGCTAAATATAGAGTTATTGTGTGTTGCTCTGAAATTTGAATATGTCTGCTGGTCTTACACAGTCTGTGTTGGTCTGTTACAAAAAATATTAAGCTGTATTCTATGCTTTTATGACCAAAAGGCTAGAGAGGCTGCTGATTATGAAACTCACATTATATAGCGTTTTAAACTATATAGTAATGAAGCAAATGTCTTGGTTAGCTGCATGCATCGTTTTAATGATCAGAAGTCAGTCAGTAGTACATTAGCTCCAACCAATGCAAGGATAGCTGTGTGGCAGCACAAATTAGATTAACCTTCAGCCTGTGTTCCTCAGCCCTGCAGATTGGATTTATTAAAAGAGGCTGGGTCTACCAGCAGAAAATACTCCCCTCTGATTTGATAACAGGAGCATAATATGCCATCTGTCTATGGGACACTTGCTGCAGGTCTGGGTTTATGTATCCTTTTTTCCTAGTCATAGGTCCCTAACAAAAATCCACATAGTGCTGGTATTAATTAGCTGTAATACAGTGTTCACCATCATTTCATGCTGTGCATGGGTACCTACTCATGAGGAAAATAATTATGAAAGAGTCAGTGATATTTAATGCCTTTTGAAAGGCTAGCTTAATAAGATCCCTTTGGGATTTATGTGGTTCTTCTGAGTTAAAAGCATGATAATCAGCAATATATGACCTCATCCACGACAAATACGTCAAAGCCCAGACATCTTGATCAGGGGCCCCAGCTGTCATATAACTATAGCTTAGAAAAGCTTTTGTAAGGTTATTTTAAATGCATTTGCGCCAAAATGTTAATTGTAAAAGGTTAAAAAATAGCTATTTTTTAAAACCAATCCACCATTACATTTTAGAAATTTCATTTGCATGTTACGTATTTTTTTAGATAACACAGAGTGTACAACTAAAACACATAAATAAGTTAGTCACGAATAATTACACTAGTTAGTGTGACTATCCAGTTATGATTAAATGCTGTTAATTACCCGCCTCCTCATTCTGAAATATACATGAGTGTAGCCTTTTCTTTTTTACATTAGAATAACACACGCTGGAGATATTAGAGATGGTTGCTCTGGTGTTGATGGCTGTTGTTTATTGTATTTTAAAGGCTGTGATTTACAAGAGCTCTGCTGGGAATTTCAAGCACTTAGCCCAGTTTCATTGGGAGCAGACAGATTTACTCCAGTTGCCGACAAACCTGCAATCTGTACAAACGATGCAGCAGTTAGGGACACAGAATAACTCTCCCAGCTTTCATATGTTTACGGATTCTGGATTGAAGCCTTTTTTTTCAGTAACTCTGCTTTTTAATATATTTTTATAGTTGTTGTGTGTGCCTCTGCAGTGGGGGACACAGGAGCAGTGCTCCTATCACATCCTGAACCAGGATGTGCATCATGATTAATTGATGAGACCATAACCCAGCTGGGTTCTGCAAAGTATGAGATCAAACTGAACTCACTCCCCCCTTCCTGTGTCTCTTCATCCATCTCTCTCTTCTCCTTTTTTTCCCCCTACCATCTCTCTCTCCTCCTCTTGCTCAATCAGCCAAAAGCCCCAAACGCTGACTGGCGATATTCTGCATCTTTGAGGGCAGGGGTGCAGAGGTAAGCATTTTTCATCTTTGACTCTTTAGCAACTTTTGGTCACTTAAAATAAAAGTTAAAGTTTTTTTGTCACTTACACTGCATTTACACTGAGCTGTCACCTTCACACGAAGGGACTTTAGACAGAAAAAGTCTTTATAGAAGTCATAGTCTTCATGGAGTGATAATGTATGAACCGTGGAAACTAACAGAAAATAACAACACCCTGCATTTTGTTGCAGGGTGTTGTGATGAAGCACTTCAGTGCTTCTAAGTAAATATTTGGTTATTAAAGTGGTGATTTCTAAGAAATAAATAATTAATAAATAAGGCATTACAAACAAAAGTGTGTTGCTATGTATAAAAAAAGGTGTTGGGGTCAAAGTTATGTAAAGAAAGGAGTATTCAAACATTATAAACTGTTTTAAACTTACTAGCAATGAGTCCTAACCTGTAATCAAACCCATTAAAACGCAACATAGAGGAGCTAAATCTGTTGGCAAAGAAGCAACTGACTAAAAAAAAAAACATGGATGGATCGAAACGTGGCGTCCCATTGGAGACACATTTCAATAAGATAGCTGTGCACAAAGCTGCAGACCCAGTGTTAGTTTTAAAGACAAGGGTTACTTTGACTTTGCATTAACTATTGTTAAAAAAAAAGGAGAAACAATAAATAAATTTGACTGATCTGCATTGGATCTAATAACCTAATTGTAGTAATCTGTTGGGACGTCAGTTTCTTTTAGTGCATGTTCTTGTAAAAAACATTCATGTAACTTTGGTCTAAAAGGGATGCAAGCACAAGCTTTTATTTTAGCTCGTTAACATCGCGAGTGCATCTATAATCCAAATGGACATAAAAACATCCATATATAGACAGCAGCATCATACTGAAGCTGAACATCTTTATCTCTGCAGGTCTGACTGCATGTAGCTTCTCAGAGCATTGCTTGAACCTCAGCTCTCTCTCTTATTCCTTCGGGAAAATTCATGAACAGTTCCATCAATGGCTGCAGCGGCACGCCTCCTCTGCAGTGTAATACTATATAGGTCATCTACATTCAGAGCGTCGCTTCCCTCGCTTACAGTCTTCAAGCAGAAACCATGAAGGACAAATAAGCTGACGATGACCTTTCCCAGATTGTGAAATGCACGCATGCATCAGTGTCTGCACACATAGCTGTCCTGCCAGCGCAGGATTGCGCATCTCTCCGGGGACCGTTTCAACTCACATGAACTGTTTCATCAACCGAGGCTTCATAGGGGGCTTTATTACAACACCACCAGCTGCAATTTATTGACAGATCTAAAAAAGCTGTAGATATTCAGTTGTACACTAAAACAGATGTACAACAAGCTGTAGTACTCTTTGTGAAATCGCTCACTAAAAATGCTATCTCCCTTTGATGGATTCAATAAATCAAATACAGATATGTGCACATAGAGGTTTTCTGTCCTCACAAATCAGAGTCAACTGAATTCAAAGCGGTCATCTACAATATCCACAATTAGGCCAAAAAAAAAAATCTGATACACAGCTGCCATGTTTTTAACTGATCAGAACAAACAGAAGTTCCAACAGAACATGAAATTAAGGGTTTTTCTAAAATGATATGTGGACAGCTGGGACATTAGGAACTGATGAGGTTCCCCAGTACATGTCCGTGCCTAATCAAAATTTTCATAATTTCATGCTAACAATGCTTACAGCTCAGTTGTGCAGTCATCTGTTCCATTTAAGTTTGATTTAATTGGATATTAGTGTTAATTCCTGTGCTGTGCATAGAACTGTAATGTGCACTCTGTCAGCAAGTCACTGTAACACACCATGGATTAACTCTGCAATTTGCTGCTGCCATCTTTAAAGTGACAGGCATGGAGATGGCTCAACTTAACCCCTAACACCAGTACAGGATGGACTATATCAAGACACGACACATGTAGCACAAACAGTGCTGACCCATATCCCTCCTTTATTGAGGCAGTGTGTTATACACTAGTTCTAGCTGTGTCATATTTAATAAGTTACTCACAATATATCTACGCAGTCATTTTTTATTCATTAGAAAGAAACATAATGTGTGTTGAGATGGGACTGGTGCACTGCAATGGAGAGGCCACATGTAGGTCTTGGCTGTGTGAGCACTAAGTAAGTGTATTTGTCATGAATGAAAATAATCCTTTCCTTAGAATAATTTTTTTTTATATTAAAAGAAAAGAAAAAATCTGTTTTCACAATGGCTTAATTTCGGTATGATAAAAATTAAGCTACACAGCTAATAATAATAATAGAAAATAAGATTTTTCTCACTTAAAAATTCAAATAATATGAATGCTGTCTTTCTGTAATGAGGACTTTTTCCATACCCTTTTTTTATCCCTGTGCATCTCTCCACAAAAGCAAAACAAATATCTGGCAAGGGTAACATCAAATAAATGTTGCGAATTGGATTTGGGAAATGTAACAGGGAATAAGTAGACTTGCTTCTTCATATATTTACTCAAATTAATGTAAAAAAAAGTATGTTGCATTACTTAAAACCACTCTTAGCTTGCGAACTGCTAAAGAACAACTAAGGCCCATTTCACATTGTCTGCAAAACCCCACCAAGCAAAGAGTCAGGTTTTATGATATCTTTGAAAATATCTTACTGATTGTGTTTTGCCTTCCAGTTCTGTCCACATGGAGGAGGCCTCAGTGATGCAGGGAGCCCAGGGGATGCTGGTGCAAAACTGGCCCACTGTGTCCAGTGCTGCAGGTGAGCAACAGTGCACATTACCTACATTCCTTTTTACCGATGTTGATAGTTCTCTGAGTTTTTGTGACAGCTGCTTTTGTGAAAAAGCTGCTGTGTGGTGTTTCCATGTTTTCTTATGCAGGCATTTGTTGATTGGTTGTCTCTGGGTACTTAGGCTTCCTTCCACAGTCCAGAAAAATGCATGTTAAGTTAATTTGATGTTCTAAATGTGTGCATGCGTGTTCGTCTCCTTTTGGCCCTGTGATGGATACAATCCTTTTAGGAATAAGCGGTATAGACAATGGATTGATGCATAATTCAGGTGCCCATTAAAACGACTAAAATGTTCCTGTGAAGCACAAATATCAGCAGAAGGAAGGTTTATAATGCAGGTTTGATCATAATGAAGTTGTGATCCTTAAACCAAATCAGCACCCAGAAAACTGTGTTTATGTAAGTAACCTATGGTGCAGACAAGGAGACATTTGTCTAACGCCAGAGGGGAGACAAGCTATTATCAGTAATGGGAGGGTTCCATGAGGAAAGTGAGAGATCCAGTAACATTAAAAGCAATTTTTGAGAGGAGGAGCAGAAGAGATGTACAGGGGGATGGAGGAAGAGACGTGAGGTGTGGGGGGATGGAGGGAGAGAAAGGTTAAGAGGATTGTCAGGTTCCTGCAGTGGTGTTGTTGCTAGGAAACCCATGTGACATGTTGCCTGGCAACACTGTCTAACTGAGATATTGCTGCAGCAGCCGCACCCTCCTTCAGCAGGGAGTGGGCGAAGGCAGTTTCCATAGAAACCAGCCATATATCTGAATGGAATTTTTAGAGACAGAAGTAGGAAACTGGCAAAGGCAGGTATTAGGGAGAATGTAGGATTATTTATCTCTGTCTTATGCACAATACATTCAACATAATTGTACTAAACAACTTAACTATCCTATAAGAAGAACCGTTTTATACATCCAGATAGATTAATTTTAGATGTAACTGCATTCACACAGAAAATAACAGCCCATTTTAAATGTAAAACATCAGGTTACACTAAGTGAGGCTTTAAACACCCCCATATCCTCAGCAGGTGTCATGGCAACCTCCTTGCACAGCACCATACTGACCTGCTTACCAGCAGTTATACAATTATCCATTTCAGAGACATATTTTCTGAGAGATGCAGGTTTATCTGGGGAATTTGCAAAAGCATTTGTGCACAAGATGTGAGTTATCGACAAATCCATCCAGATCCTTCGAAAATATGTCTCTAAAAATTGTGAAAAAGGCAAAAAGAAAATATATACTGTGTGGTCGTAAATGTAACTTGTGCCTTGGTAGCCCTTTGGTATCATTTATGTGTTTCTGACTGACAATGACAATGTCTGACTGTTAAACTATTATTAATATTTTAAATATCTTAAAGAGTCATTTGTGACCAGAGTTTAGGGTGTTTGGTTTATGTTTGCTAAGACTTCACATTGTAACTTTCTAAATTATGATTTTGAAAATTAAATGCAAAATGAGTAGTGGGAGCAGGTTACATGCTCTTGTGCATAAGTGGTAAAAAAAACTATGCTACCTTGTGTAAAACAGTGCCTTGCTCAGTAGACTCATGCCCATACAGCTTCTATTTCAACTCAATTCTGGTGTGTTTATATATTTTTCTGACTGTCTTCCTTCACATAAGAGGCAGTTTTACTTCTTTTATTGCTGATTTCATTTGAATCAGATGTTCAAAAGCACTGTCCTCTTGGGTTTAATACTCAGATTAAATACTGACAGACCCTCAAATGTAATAATCCTCTGACAGAGACTATGGTAATGGCTTTACAGCAGTTACTCCACTAATGAGGAAATAAGATCGCATTTGACATAGTTGAAATTTTATGTTCATACATATAGTATTACAAAGGTTAAAACATTTTTTTAAAACCTTCTAAGGCCATAATTCTTTAAGATCTTCTAGTATTTTACATGCTAATCACCCAGTGTTGTTGAAAATTAATACGTTATGTGTCTCTAATCCTTTTTACTAGATAATCATATTATTGTGCTGCTGTTATGGCATTATATTTAACCTTTCTCTTTACAATGAGAGCAACAATCTTTAATCTAGTCCAGCATAGTCCTCTTATGACTATGAAATTGATCAATTTGTGGTAAGTTTTGACTAAAAAGCATGTCATAGCTCTCTCAGGTATGTGCAGGGTGAGTCAAAATGAAATTTCTGAATGCTCTAGCAAGTTATGGTTGATGAGGCTATCTTTTAGGTTGTATCCAACTTGAAAACCCCCAAAGTTGATCAAAGAAAGCAAGATTTGTCTGAGAAATGTATTGCCGCAATCAGATTAACTATATATGTTATGGTTCAAAAGTTATCACCTCAAACAATTATGTCAACTTGGAACATTGGCTATGATGCATAGACGCATGATTCAGACTTAACGATTTTATGCAGACACTCACACTGGTTCATGATGAAAATTTCTGTGTTCCTATCACAATTCCTGTGTTGGTAACTTTTAAACCATTAGACATGTTGCTAATATGACTGTGGCTAGGATTTTCGACACAATTCAAGTGTTCTTTGATTGCTGCATGACCACTTTGCCATTGGAAAAACCGGATCCAATATGCCGGCTTTTTAGATGGTGGCCACGTTACGGACATTGCCTAAAAGCTTGACCTCCTCACCCTTTACCCGTTGGGGTATTCAGATATGTCATTTTCCGCTTGGTTTCTGAAATGAAATGGTGCCCTGTGACTTTTGACTCACCCCGTGCTTTGCCCATCGTCAGGGTTGCTTATTCTTAGCAGGAATACAGCTTGTCCATTTCATATTCATGCAGTCTGTGCATGCTGTTTATTCTCCTGCTGGATGATCTCATTGTGAGGATTCAATGAGACAGAATGCATATGGGTAATGAAAAAAAAATGTAACTGGTGTTCTTCCCAGCGGGACTGTCGCTGAAACCATTTCAGCACTCCAGCAATGTCATAAATAGCCCAAAACCAAAAATCAAACAGAATCTTTTTGCAGTGGCCTGTATTTGATCTAAATAAAATCCGGACTGAAAGTAGGTCAGTGCAGAGGGAACCGGTGTGGGTCTGAGAGCACTGTGTCTGCAAAACCCCCCATCCTTCTTCCTGCTTTACTCTCCCGCCCTCACACTCTCACTCTCATCCAACACCCTTTTTTCCTTTTCACTCAGAGATATTTAACCTTTTGAACCTAATAGTCACATCCAATTTTCACCTTTCATAATAGATGCTTGATATGTTTCTTTTTCTGTTGTGTGCCTAATTTTCCGTGTTTTTTTTTGTCTTGTCATTTGGGCTCATTTGTCTTTCACATCCACCCGTTTGCTCTAGAGAGGTTGAATCCCTGTGCCTAGCCTCCTGTGTGAGGGGGATTATGGTGTTGCAATCATCCAAATACAAAAATTAATCACACTGCCAAGTTAAACATCCCTGTGGTTTTAAGGGTATTACCTTCAGTGTTCCCTTTTGTAGGGTTGTCTGGATTGTAGTCCTGAACTGTGTGTCCATTCACCAAATCAAAAAGTGTAGTAAATGAATAACAATGCATGCATATTATAATAGTTACTGTAAGGTAATTGTAGAAGCAAGATTATTTCATTGAATTCTATAGACTATAGTGATCTGTTATAAAATGTTAGCCATCAAAATTGTACTATTTGATCATTTAATACCACAAAATATCAGCTGCGTTTTAGCTTTTTAAAATCTGCCTTTTTATCTATTTAATGATATCCAGCTAACTAGTTATTTCAGCCAAGTGTTTTAAGTTTTCAGTCTCTAAAACAGCTGCACATGCCTCTGACTTCATCCATAGCTTTGTTTGCTGTGGCTAATATTGATTCCGCATGTCAAGATATTGAAGATATCACAGCGTGATTTGAGCATTTAAGATTTTGGTGCTCAGATTTGACAAGAAATGTAATTTTCTTCCTCGTGATCTTGTAGATGGAGAAGGTGGTGGAGAGCTATCCCCGCCAGTGGGTGCTGGAGTCAACAGCAACAGCTGGCACTTTAGATATGGAGCGGCACAAGGCTACGGCCCCCCTCAGCCCCTGAAGCCTGGAGAGATTCCCCCCGAAGCGTTCATCATCCCTGGATCTCCAGCCATTATTTCCATTCGCCATGACGGAGGCCCTGTAGATGACAAAGGTGACTTCATAAGCTTCGGCAAGAAGGATGAGGCCAAGAAGAAGAAGAAGAAGAAAAAGGACAAGAAGGACAAAAAGGATAAGGGAAAGGATGATGGTGATGACTAGAGGAGGAGTGTCTAGAAAACAGAGCTCCCGAAAAACTACCATCATTGTTCCAGAGCCAGAAAAAATAAGCCAAATGCTTATTGTACAGCCAAGGGAGCCTCCTTGTACCACATTTGCATAGACATTGTACAATGGCCAAATCCTTATTCAATCAGACCTGGCTCTCACATCATGTAAACTACAAATGCTCTTTATCTAAAAGGTTGGACCAAATTAAAACAGAAACAAATTTATTCGCTTAGATGAGCCTTTCTGTGATCTGCTGTCCAACCCCCCTAAGCCCCTTATACCAAGTTTGTACAATATCAACAAGGAAAAACACCCCACACGGTGCTTTATTTGTATCTGACCATAGTCAGCAGGGGCTGCTGATGTTGACATCTCTGGTAGCCTACAACAATTTTTTTGGTTTTTTTTTTTTTTGCCAATTCAAAGTAAAGTGAAAGCCAAAAAAAAAAATATTAAAAGAGGTGCTTTTGTCTTCAGTATTGTGGAGGGTTGGTAAGAATTCAAATAATGTGGTCTTTTGTATAAAAAGATTTGAAAAGAAAAAAATAACAGCGTATGCGAAACTCATACCATAGGATATGCACCTTTAAGAGAAAAAGAGGTGACTGAGAAGAGCTGGACCACACTCAGACGAAGAGCTCTGTTTCAGTGTAACATAGCACATCGCAGAAGCTGAGCACCTGCACAGGGTTGCACCAACTATGCGCAAGTTTGTTCCCAGGTTAGCTTATAAAGTAGTGGCATCATAACTTCTAGTTCGTTTGTAATTACAAATATCCTAAATTTGATTTGACGGTGGATATGAAGAAGTGATTTTAAGGCTTTTGCTATGAAGATAGGTGGCATAATTAGTAGATTATCAACAATCTGTTGCTGATAGTTGGAGAATACATGGATTTGTAAGTGAATAGATAGGTGTAAGATACATTATTGGTAAAAAAAAACAAAAAAAAACAATCGCTATGTGTCTCCAACAGGATAACACTGGGTTTTACATGTTTAAGTCCAGTCTCTACAAATTATTAATGGCTAACCATTTATATTTTAACAACATTCGCGTTCCATATTAATCTTTTTTTTTGGTAGAGTTTATCTTTACCTTGCAGGCATGTTTTTAAAGACTATACAAAAAAATTAATAAATATCCTCAATCTCAAAATTCTTAAAAGAAAACACTGTGTCTGATCTAAATCAGTATATATCTTTTACTTTTTTTTCAGAAAATATTGCAGATTGTATGTAATGCTTTTCTAAGCTAAATGCAGATGGAAGAGTTTGGGAAAAGTATTTCAACCACATCTCAGAATATTCTACATATGATCAAAGTACATGGGAACTGGATTCGGCCTGAAGGCACAAAAGAAATCACACTGAAAATGTTGAAATGTAAGTGGTTGGCAAAGTTATGTAATGTGTAGAAAAATGGATGGAAACATGAAAAAAGCTACATGGCATATAATTACAAAGAGATAAAATGCTGTGTGCACAAAAAAAAGAAGAAAAAAATCTGCTTAACTGTTAGTGAGTGCAGTTGTGTGACTTTGTAAAATTTGCACCTGCTTTATTGCTTGCTTAATTATTTAGTTGTTGCCTAAGATTATATTGCAATGGATTTTTTTGGGTGGTATCGAGTATAATTTAGCGTGAATTGGGATAAATGACTACTTCAGATATAACTAGGGAACCTAACGTGCAGCTGATGCAACCAGCCCCTGACCCTGCCTCTCGAAGTATGGTCATAATTCCACTTGTGTATCAGCACATCCTAATGTGACGCACACCTTAACTGTACACAAACATTGACCCCCTCGGACTCTTATTCACGAGAAAACAAGCAAACACGCACACACTATCGTCCCGCTTTTCAGCATACATGACAAATGAGCGCAAATACTGACAATATTACTGTTCATCCCAAACCGGAAAACCCCAAAACCGCATATAACAAGGGAGTGTATTATACAGCTGAGAAGCAGGAACGCGGCTTTTTTGCTTCATTTCTGTTCTGTGAGCCTGATCTCTCTACTTTTGTCTGTGAATGTCAAGTTGTTCTTCAAGTCCTGCAAAACTGCTTTAACTGCTTCAGTGCTTGTAGGATTTGCTTGCCCGCCGCTTGTTTCCTGCCTCTGCTCCTGTTTCCTCGAAGCAACATTATTGGACGACATCTTTAAAGTTACTCTTCCTGTGTGAACTTTGCAGTCACAGCCTAGTGACGTTTGTGTATATTTGTACGTACTCACAGAATGGTGACCCAGCAACATGAACGACAGTCATACAGACATCTTTTGTAACGGTCAACTTCAAATGAGCCTTTGCCAGCGTTGTTTCCCATGTTGTCACTTGAGTTGTAATTCTGGCATTGCTAAGAAGTTTAACACCTCAACAAAAAGTCTGATACTCTATGAGACATGATTTGATAAGCTGGAGCAGCATATAGAAAATGAGAAAACAGCAATCAAAACCAATTCCGATGAAAAAGAGTAATGGACAAGTCAGTCCTGCCAAGGGCATTGCGTTTTTTTTTTGTTTTTTTTTTCCATCTGTGCTGTGATGGAACACTGCCTGAAAATGAGTGAAGCACAGGGGGCCAGTGACTGTTTTCAAAGAGTAAACCTAAAGGGAGGTGAATTTCATAACCGAGCAACAGATAGAGACGGCAACAGGCAGAGATCAACAATCATGCCTTAAGTTACACCTCAGCATTGGAACTGATTTGCCATAATGCAGCACGTAAGTGTTTCAAACCAGGCTGCCAGCAAGGACTGTGTCAGTCATTCAAGTTTTACAGCCGTCCACAGGAGAAATGTAATAGGCCTCACATTGCTGAACAAGAGTATTGCAAGCGATAGATCCTGGAACAACTTCAACATGACTAAACGTGTCATAAAGTTTCACCTCAGTGTTCCTTTTTCTTGAGATTATTGTATTAAAAAACACAATTTGGGTATATATAGATGCTGCCATCCAGCTCCATCCTTTCAATGTACACGATTTTCTCCCCTGCCCTTTTACGCAGGTGTACTTCTGTGCTGTCAGATCACAAAGTGGCTGTTTGCATGTTATAAGCAAAGGAAACAGATTCTATATAGATACTATATATATACATAGATATGTTTTTCCCCTCGGGAATGTGTATTGGATTAAATATACCTTTGATACACATTCCCAAGATGATACACACACTGAATTACCTGCAATGATCCATAAATTGACACACAGCTGCAGTACATACAGATGCATTATTCTGAACAGTAAATTGTGGAAAAACCTGAAATAATCACATTTTTTATCCTGTTGAAAATGACTTTGATCTTTAGATATACATAATGCTATTGTGTTATGCTATGAAATGCCTTTTTTTCTGTTTTCACCCATATGATTTCCATCGATAAAAGGTTTGAATCTTGTGTTGAACTTCAAAATCCCCATACAAACACTGTTGTGAATCATTTACTCACCCTCCATATCTGTCTGTTGCTAAGTAGAAAAAAAGGCATAAAAAAGAAGGGGAAAAAAAACAACAAAACCAGAAAAAAAGTGTTAAAAAAATGTATGTATTCTCTGCTTGTGTATAGTGAATGTTCCTCAGATGCTGGGTGTGGGAGTGGTGGGGGGCCCATCCCAGTCAGCTTTGGCCGTGCAGACCTGTTCATAACTTTTTTGTACACCTGCTTATCATTGTCAAGGTGTTAATAGTGATCCATATGATTTCATTTATCTGGTAATGTGTTTTACTAAGAAGTCACAAATAAACTTTTTTTCTTAAATATCGTAAATGTGTTGTGGCTGTCGTTCTTACAACTTCTTTTGGCTGAAGTTTGCTTTATATAACAATAATGAAGTCCCCACACTTTAATATCATCAAAAGTGTAGATTTTTTGTTTCAAATGGCCACGTATGTCCAGACAAAAATCTCTCCTGCAGAGCTACATTATGTATTGTATTTATAATGAGGTATAAGAAAGGATACATTTGCTGTAATCCTTATATAACCTGTGCAACCTCTTCAGTGAATGTGTCATTCCTGCACACTTTAAAAAAGACACCTCTTTGCATATTAGAACAGAAATGATCCACATCAAACTTAGAAGAACTTATAATTTGCAGAAACATGATGAAAATGACCACTGAATCTGAAGGATTCTTCTCTTTGCCCTTAGCACCATAATCAAACACATCCATGTCAGAAATCATTTTGTTCTGTGGAAGACTGTGGAAAATGCCAGAACCCTGTTTTCCTCTGTGTTTCCCGTAATGTGAATCTGATGCAAGCTAAAGTGTTCTGTTTACAAAAAAGGGGGGGAAACTTACTGTGTGATTGCAACACAGTTCACTTTCCTGTCAAGCAGCTGTTTTGGCAGCGAACGGCTCTTTGCTTGGCTGCAATCCATGTGAAGGAAAGAGAAAAACAAGTCCAGAAACTGTTGAACTTAGGGTAAGAATGTTTGAACAGCATTACTTTTAAAGGAAGAGCTCCTCTTTTGTGCTGTGTATGGTTAATGGCGTTATAGCTTTCTCCTTGTTCACTTGAAATCTAATTTTTAAACTTAGATATGTCAAGGAGCTCCTGCAGTAACGCTGTAACAATGCAGAATGGTTTTTTGAGCACAGATATAAAATCAGCAAAAGCTGAGCAGGTATAAAGCTGGCAGACAGGGGTCATTAACAGATGGTTTGATACAGAGTAAGATGAGAACTCAATTTGTTCTTCTATTTAAACAAAGAGTGGGCTTTTCAATGCTGTCTGCTGATATCTGAAGCACAGGCTCCCTCTGTCTGTGAAATTAAGAAATACTTATCGGACACCACCCTTCTAACAGTGTTAGTCCTTCACTCCTGCAGTGCTGACACCTACTGATGGAAACGCTACAGTGAACTAACCCATACGGGTTCAATACTTTCCTCTTCAAAACATAAGGACGAGGTAAGTGGCTGAAAAGTATCAAAGATTATCAGTTCACTCACTAAATCTTTCTAGAAATATTTTCACCGATTTTAGATGTCTTATTTCCAGGTAATTCATTTAAAAAACAATGAAAATGATGTTTTTATCTTAGTAGCCAATGCTGGTGCAATGTATTGACATCTTGAGGGATGGAGATGTTGCTGATGCTCATGTGCCCCCCAGTGGCGGCTTTTTGCATTGCAGCTTTAAATGCATTTGTAAAAGTCTGCTCAAATTCTGAGCTGTCTATACATCCATCCATCCATTTTCTGAACAGCTTATTCCCAAATGGGGTCTTGGCGGGACTGGAGCCTATCCCAGTAGCCAATGTGCGAGAGGAAGGGTACACCCTGGACAGTTCACCAGTCCATCGCAGGGCCAATTCTGAGCTATGTAGTACATGTCACAGATTTAGGGAAAAGTTCTCAACCTGAGTAAAGATTTGTGAAAACATAAAAATGATTTCCATTTTGCAAAAGGATTAATATATTAAACCATTTGACAAATCAATGGCCCCCCTTAAAGTTCAATGCTTCAATTTTATCTATTTACTGTATTTATCTCTAACTTTTTCTTAGGCCTTAAAGACAATTCACGTCTCATCTTAAAAGCTTCCTCTGAACTGGCTAAAGTGTTGTGCTAGTATTGCGATAAATGTATTAAGGGGAGTAAAATATAAACAAGAAAATGCACAAGTCCAGTCAATAAAGAAATTGTGCTCCACGTTTTATAAGTAAATAAAAGAGCAGCAAGTTTCCTTCAACATGGTTCTTTAAAAACCTTTAAATGTATGTAAAGTTGAGTTTGTTTGCAAGCTGATCATATTTCCATTTTCACTGGAGACAAACCAAGGTAATTTAACTAAAGAAGGTCTTTGCAATAAGACTCTCTGGCTGAGAGGCCATTCCAAATTGTCATTCCCAGAGCACGTTGAGTGTGTGCGCCTGCATTCGTTACCAAGTGTTCTGCAGCACGATCTGCCGATCCTAATCCACTATGTGATGAAACTTTTCACACAGAAACCAATCAGATCAGATATTTAATGATTCAGCAGAGAAGTTTAGTGAATGCGTAACAATGCATCATTGTGTCTGTGCAGATAGAAAGAAAAGCAGGTAAAAGTGTGCATTCTACACATCAAAGTCTCTTTTTATGAAAGCACATGTTTCAAGCCTTCTGTGACTCCAGAAGGGACCACAAAGCACATCACAGCTGGAGGCAACAGAGGCGTAACATTCAAGAAAGGCCAAACTGCATGAAGTTGAGTTGTCCTGAGGGGAAAAAGAGACACCAAAGAGATAGTTTTTAACAAGAAGGATGCATGAAATTAATGAAAGGATGCCTGTGGTTTGCTTGCATAGGTCACGCAGATGCCCCACTTTTCACTATGATTTTGTGAAACATAAAGAAGTGAGGGAAAAAAAAAACACGTTTTCACTTTTCTTACATCATGGTGCGTTTGCTCCAAAGCAATAGACATCATAAAGTTAAGCCACAGCAAGAGCCCAACCTCAAGCCAGTGCTCTCTGAGTACACCTGCAGTTGGTTGTATGCAGGTGTGGACTTCTCTGCATCCACCTTTAATCTGTTGTGATCAGCTCCATTGAGACATTAAAGTCTGAAATCTAAAAGGAAATGGTTTTATATGTTTTAAACCAATAATGTTTTTACTGTGTAATGAGGATTTTGAAATTAGGTTATGTGAATATTCAGAATCATATTGCAAAACAAATTTAAATACAATTATCCACATATAAAAAGATAAAGCCATTGTCCCTGTATGAGCTAAAACTACCTGTACCGTGATACAGTCTAGTTATCAAACACAGGTCGCACTAATCCCAGATCTCTTGGAGAAATAAAAAAATGCACATCAGATACAACTGGTAAAAAGATAGGAGAAATAACCTGCCAGTTAGTATCAACATGCCACATCAAATACACGTCTCAGCAAAAAAAAACACTTTGCAATTACCAGGAGGCCATGGAGTGACCTCATTCACAAAGTCAGCCTCATGCTCCCCATGAGTGCAGCGATGGAAACTGAGAGCAATCTTCCGAACACTGTGAAGTCACTCAGGCTGCACTCCCATTTGATGGCAGTAATAGTCGATCTAATAACTGGTCATTTCTGTTTCTGTGCTGTTTCGTAAATAAACCTGCTATTTGGGTGGATTCTAGACGTGCTATTTTTAAATTCTACCACCTTGTCTCTTGCCATTAGGCGGGTGGACCTGTTTTTAGGAGTGCGGGCATATTTTGCCGGAGTTAAATTGCGAGCGTGTTTGTTCTCACAACTAGAGACAGTGGCTTGAAAACAGTGCAGTAAATGCGGAATAATGTTGCCAGTTGAGTGGGAAGAAATAGAATTGCAGATTTGAAACCATCACAGAATACATCTCAGTCATTAATCTTGTTTCTTTAGGATGAAAAGAAATAAGCTTGTTTTTTTAGTATGAAACATTTCAAACCACAGTACAATCCTCATTTGATCTATTTTCTATTATTTTATGGAAAATATAAGTGTCTCACGAGACACTTATAAAGAAATAAGTGCAAAAAAAAGGAATTGCTGCAAAAAAATATTTTCTAAACTCATGAAATTAAAGTTAAAGTCCAGGGTCTCTCTGTTTATAGTTTTACTCTGTGATCAATAGCATAGAATATTCATTTTTTGGTTTGTTTTAAAATGTGTACCAGACTAAGAAGTTTTTCCATTACTGAATATATATAAGCATATGCAAATGCATACATTCTTATCCAAATGTACATGTATGTGGAAAATGCAAAAGTACCAGAAAGTCATTTTTCTAAATTATTTAGACTATTTAATCAAATGTAATTGTCAGTTGTGAGAGAATATTGCATTATACATATTTTATAAGAATTGATTTAACGAAATAATTTATTTATATACATTTATAATATAAACTTTTAAATGACTAATAGGACTCACACTGACTCTCTATTTTTCCTATAATCTTCCATTTGTTTAGCTTTTCATTGAATAAAACCATTTTGTCTGAAAATTAAGTATAGTACTAATGCCCCGTATCAGAGGTATAAAATGCAAATTTCTTTATGGCAGCGAGTTATCTTTCCATGCCCATTTCTTGTTGGAACGAATTCTTTTTTTCTGCATTTTCTAACTTGCATGGTAATTTACAGACAGTCCCTACCCCACTGATGCAAGTCACTTCCTCTCCCCCTGCCTCTGTCTTTCTCTCCTTCGCTCTCTCTCCACCCAGCAGTAGATCAGGACGCGTGCATGTTGGGAACGAGGACAGTGGCAAAAAGGAGAGGTTAGAGAAAGGGAGAGGGAGAAAAGGAAGATGCAAAAAAGACGCCAGACAGAGCCGAACAGTGTCTTGGAGGGCAGCGCACTCCAGCAAACTGCTGTATTATGATAACGGAATGAGCATGCTGGACCAAAACAGGAGGAGAAGTGGATGCACTGAGGACACAGCCTAATCAATATAAGGTAGACTAGTTTAGACACAGAACAGTGGATTGGAAGGCTTAAAAAGAAACGTTGCGTCCAGCTGACTGCTTTCGGACTTTTGTGAGTTTGGAATTTGCAGCCTAGGATTTGACAACATGGGGACAAAGTCACTTTAGACCTTGAGGACTTATTAAAACTATCTCTTGTTTGGAGTAAAGACATCTTGCCGCTGGAATGTAAAAGCTATCAGGTATGGCCATTGAACAGAAACTAATTTAATAAAAACAAAAAAGGCTTTTTTTGGCTTAAATGTAATCATCAAAGTAAAAGAATTGTGTGAATTTTCAATAACATATTTTATTCAACTCTTTTGAAAAGTATCACAACAGGGCACTCATCTTTTTCTTAGTCTTTTACGGTGACAAATGACACAGGTCACTTGGCTTAGCTAAATTAACACCAGATGACACAACAAACAACATAATAGTTCCATTCAGGTACAGATGACTTAATATTACTTGCAATTTAAACATCCTGTGATTCAAGCTTGCAAGGAAAAGGAGGAAGGCAGGAATGCTGGTCAGAATTTATTTATTTGTGTATTTGTCATAATTTGTCACATCTTAGAGGATGCACTCATTCATTCAGACTGGGAGTTTCACTGTATGGCGATGAAATGTGTACCTGAAAGCCAAGATCCACATTTTATTTCCCTGTTGACTGATGAACTGTTGTAGCGTAAATCATTAAAATGACCTCATGCACAAATGGGAAATCTGTCCCCTGTGAATTCAAGGATGTAATGGACACACACAACCGCACACCCACAGAGAGGCTGACCCTTTGTTGAAGGGTGTTCCACTTTAATGCACACAAAATTTAATGAAGTCTTTACAGTAGCTTCATCGGATATTTAGGCCTCTTTTTAATGTGATGTAAGCGTGAAAGAGAGAGAGTTCATTCATGAAGTTTTCATTTTACTCCAAAAAATTAAGTATTCTGTGAGCTGGTTGACAAAAACAGTTCTTATTAGAGTAATTGGAATGCTAATGCCATATATTAAAAAAAAAGGTTTTCACTGTTCTTACTGTTTTCCTTTTTGTGTTTTTTTTGCCATACCTATTTTTCTATGCCAGGGAAGTTTTTTTTATCTCATTTCAAATCTGCACCTGATTTCTAATCGCTAACTCTACATTATTTCTGTTGTACTAAAGCAGTTTCTTGACTCATTTCTAATTTTGCATTGTTTCAGCTAATCCTGCTTGCGTATGGATTTCCTCACCGCACCGTTTCAAACGCCTCTCGCTGTAAACTTCCTCTACACAGATGTAACGGTGTGGAAACACTGCTGTTCGCTGGAATTTTCTGACTTCTGAATCGGTCTAGGCGAGGCATGGGGAGACGGGCAACTGACCTGACCACTCCGGTTCCAGTTTTAGGCGTTCCGGCCTTGGTCGGGGTGCGTGCCTGGAAGACAACAGGAGGAGACAGAGGTGGGGGGACTCTGCTGAAGACGTGGGGACTTCAGTGCAGCGTTGGCGTTCAGACGTCCCCGAGGATTAGCAAACCACCCACTGAGCTACCCGACACCCTCTCAGAGAACATTACTCAAACATCCGACGGATATAATACCAAGGAAGCAACGGAGATACCGCCGCTAACGAGAAGTGACAACGAGAAAAAGACTATTCTAAAACAGAAAACTGGAGAAGCCAAGATCAAAAAGGAAGTGACTTTCAAAGGATGTGGAGGTGATGCCTCAAAGGATGTGGCCTGCTGTCGGAAGAGGAGTGGAGGGACTTATTGCTATGCCAGGGCAATCAGAAGCAATTCACTCATAACAAGTGGAAGACCTAAATTGAAATCTGGTCCCCGTTACACCAATGGCAGCGTGGTTGATTCAGAGGCCATTGGTGGAATTAGCGTAGTTAACGACGAGCAAGAGCCAGTAAAGGGAGCTGTCTCTCATGGGAGGGATCCGCAGAATCATTATGCAGATCAGACTGAGAAGATGCCGCCATTAATTGGTGCCCGACCTTTCGCTGTATCTGGGAAAATATGCAGCAATTGTGGTGGGAGGCAGCCAGTGACTTCCAGAGCTGCCATTAGAAGCAGGAACAGTTCTAGTCCTTATTCATATCTCACAGAGAAACCTTTAAATCAACCATTCACGCCACTTTTAACTAATAACCATTCCCAGGCACCTCACATTGAAAAAAACTCCTTGAACAGCACCCTTAACCCTGACAAAAGCCCACAGACTATAGTGGAACCACAAACACAGCACGTAAATGAGCTAAAAGATGTTAAAACGCCCTACCCTGCATGCCCAGTGCACGCAAGAGGCCATCTGGCCAATCTGTCAGATGAGCAGGCTGTCAGAGATGGGGCATCCATCCAACCTGCAACCGTCCTACATTCTAAGACCATCACTGTCACAAAAGCCACGATTGAAAGCAGACAGGATGTAAAGTCATTGGCTAAATTCCCACAATACAGTGACAAAAACTTCCCAGCAAGTCTTAATTGGACTCCTGAAATAGCTAAAAAATCAGACATGTCACGTTCAAACTGTAACCCTCTTTTATGTGAGACAGCGCACTACAACTCTGCCCAAGATCCTGGGCCTAAAAATGTGTCTGTTTCCGTGCATGCCTCACCTGATAATGCCATAAGTCCACCTTCATATATGTATACTGTAGCAAAGGGAACTGGAAACACATCCACCACAGGCACAGACAAATCAAACACAACTTTTCCTCTGGAAGTTGGGTCCACTAATAGTAATGATGCTAAAGCTGATGCTCAAGAAAAAAACTTGAACTCAATACAAAAAGTTCAGAGAAGCGAAGCAAAGGGCAAATTTAACTTCCCCAGAATGGATGCTAAATTACCAGCGTCATCCTTGCCAGCAAACATATTTGACCACACTGAGAAATCAGAGCCAAATGTAAGTCTCACACCTGAAAGCTCATCTTGTTACGCTTTTAAACCCCAAAAGGAGCCCCAGTCGGGCCCTATCGGCCCATCAGCAGATAGAGTTCTGAACAGCGTGGTGAACTCACCTATGGTGTCTTCCCCACATTCACTTGTGAGCACTTTTAATCATAAAGCCCATTTAACCGAATTTATGTCAGTGAGCACACAATTCTCGTCTGTGGCTTCAAAAATCGACTTAATTCAAACGAGCACATCAAACTCTGAGTCTGCGCTTCGTGTTTCTGCATCTTCCGTACACACATCTGCTACATTTAAATCTTTAGACTCAAAGGAAAAGTTGCCTAAAAGTGAAGCTCTCAGCTCCACAAGTAAACAAGGTAATGGCACCTCCTACAAAAATATAACATGCAGGACCATCACATTTGATTTGAGGAAACCCACGACCCCCTCTTACTCACCATTATCTTCACAAAGAGAAAAACAAAATAATCTCCTGGCATCAAGTGCAACTTTGCCACAGTCCAAAAAACTTAGCGGTGATGAAGCCTCTGACACAAGCAAACATCGTCTCTCACAAACAACAGACATCAAAACTCATGAAGGTAATGAGCCAAATGTTTGGGGTGTCATTCCTAATCAGGAAAACAACTCAAAAACGACTCCACCCGTGTCTGAGAAGCGAAACGTGTCAGAAAATCATGACAGAGGCGGTGATGCTAACAGCCATCACCCAAAACAAACCATTAATCGGAACGAGGACCTGTACTCTGATCTAAACGAAGTAAGGGGTAATCTAATCAGTCAGTTAGTTGCACACGAGTCTAAACACCAGGCAAATGGCGATCTTTCACAGGTCACTTGCCCTCAGAATTGCATTTACTTAATTAAGTCAAGCAGCTCTTGTTTGCAGGGTTGTCTGAGCACGGAACAACAGAAGCTTGCACATTATCAACGCCGCACAGGAACAGAAAGGCACAGCGCAGGACAGTCCACACCAAAACCCTCCCAGCACGCAGATCCAAGCATGCAACAGTTTGAATCAGTTAGCGACGCCAGCGCAAACCTTAAATCCACTAGCAACGGGCAGGCCCATCCCATTTATGCACCGTCCTCACTGACGTCACAAACTAACTGGAAAACATTCAACTCACGCAAAGACGAGCTGGTAAAACCCGCCGTCCAGTCTCCGGCCTGCCAAAACTCAGTTTTTTTTACCACATTACTTACACAAGCACACTCAAGTGGAGAACGGCGTGTCACTGCGCCAGCATCATTAAGGAGTGAAGGAGAGCTCCGCGCATCAATGGGCACCCGGCATAATTCCACGATGCCATCGTCAACATTACGCTTGGCATCCGGTCCCTGCCTCCAGTCCAGTTCAAAGTTTAACCCTGCTCCCTCTCAGTCGTCCCCAGAGGAAAACAGCCTGGTTCTGTCCCGCCCAGCGGACACGGACGTGTCTCTGCAGCCCTCTACAGAGTGTTGCAAATCAACCCTGCAGCAGAGGCTGGAGGCAGTGGAGGCCAGCCTGGAAGCCAACAAGGACCGGATCACCACGCTGCTCAACATCATCCACGACCTGGAGACATCTCACACTCCCACCGGCAGGTAACCACGCGTGTGTTTTTCCTGTGTTGGTGGTTCATTTCTGTGTGCAGAATCTGCTGTGTCGTGATGATTTTAAAATTAAAATATTGGCTCACATGTTTCAAACCTACGTGTTCAGATGTTTTTTTTAACTACGAATATGCGACACAAGATAAAATACAAAATCAGATGTGAGACTACTTTGTCCAACATCACATTAAGACCAGTTCTGCAATGATGACTGGTGGGTGCAGTGAGTCATTTTTTACATTTGTTGAAGCCTCTTGGTAGCTTTGACAAGCACACACACACACACATAAACGTCTCCTAAAAATTTGTAGGTGTGTATTTGTTCAATTAAGTGCATGAACATGAACAAGTGCGTGATAATTACTGACTGGCTGCTGTGTTGGTGTTGAACAATTTACTCCTGAAATCCAAAAGTTAAGCATTTTCACCTGTTTCTGCTTTGCACCTAAATGCATTTATTGTTTCAAAAGGGATGGTTCAGGTTTTGTGTGACATACTTATGAATATTTTGTGTTTTTCGCACTGCCTATTTGAAGTCGAGAGGAATTCTCACGGGGGAGCCATCTGGAAACTGATACTGAGAGCAGGGGAAAAAGAAGACTGAATCTTTTGCCATCTTTAACTGATAAACCTAAAAAAAAATCATATTGGTTCAGCAAGGTTGAAGACAGCTTTAGGATGGTATCAGAGTGTGACAGAGACCTACTTGGGAAATTTAGAGGGGCTCGTTCAAAATAATTTATTTAGCCACGCAACTCTTCTGAGACAAATAGCAGGAATTAAGACAGCCTCCTGGCAATGTGTCTTTGTCAATCATTCTCATCCGCTGCTATGTCTTAATAAGGTCTGACTTGCTCTGCGGTCATTTTCAGTATAACCAACTCCTAACAAGCAGGACTGAGGTTAAACACAATGGATGCTAGACTGCGTATGACAGCCAACAGGATTCTGGATGTCAGGCTGAGAGGATAAGGGGATATATAATTTAAATATAAATCTAAGAGCTTCAGAGTTTCGTGAGGTGTTCTAAAATGCTTGTTTGATTCACTGTAGGCGACAGTGCTGCAAAACCGGACAGGATCTGAAAAGCTGTTCCACCTGCCAGAAGACTGCTTGCATCGTGTACAGGTGAGAAAATGATTAAACTGGCAAATAAAAACAACAAAAAAATGTTTTTCAAAGACGTTATGGACAGATTTTCCATGATAAAGAACAAGTATTGCGGATATCATTGCTTTGTGGTACTCCTTGGTGTTGATCAGCCGAAGCCTTGATTCAGAGAGACTAAATTCATTAGCATTCCTGCAGAATAGTAAACATATGTTTCAGTTCCATCTGGGACAGTGTCAACATATAGATTTCATTTACGAAATCTGGCACCAAATTCAGCCGGTGATTGAGTCCACTGGCAATTTCCATTGTCAGTTCACTGCCTGCCAGGTCGCCTCACTGAGAATGAATGGCCTGCAGTATGGGCATCGTACCAGCTAAAAAAAAAGATAAATAAAAAAATGTTTTTACTGCTCATTTGAGTCCTGTTCAGAGTACACAGGAAGATTGCATTTTCATCCCTGAATACAGCATAAATCTTTCAGAGCGGCTGTCAAATTGTAGTCTATTCACACAGAGGATTTACAGTGATGGAGTCGGACGTGATGAAACTCAGAAAGAACAGAAGAAGAAAGTCCCCTGCTTTTAAGAAGGACTTACAACAAACTCCACTGAGGTCTTGAATATCTTTATCTTTTTTCTTGGTTTGCAGTCATTTGCTGAAATGTTGCATCAGTTGAAGGCAATAGAAAATAAAAAACACAATTGTCCCAGAACTGTTATGAGCTGAAAAGAGGTTAAGTAAAGCAGAGAAATCTGAAAATATTCTCATCATCTTTTTGAAAAAAGAAATCCTTAGAAAAAGCCAAACCTAAACCGCCTGTATCTTTAAATATTCAAAACATTTTCTTTGATCAAGATACTTTTAAAATTGCTTTACATGTCAGAGAGACTTCACATAGATGTAATGTGCCAAATGCTATCTCTGACATCTGTTCCAGAAAACCAAGTGGAAGATAGGAATATTAAATGAAGACATGAGTGCCTAAAGAAATGGAAAACAAGGGGAAAATGCATTCCCTGTTGTGTTTTCCTGCCCAAATCAGTCAGCCACTTTGAAGTCTGACAGGCACAGGGCTTTCCACACCAGGAGTACCACACAAAGCAAAGCGAACTGTTACATCACAATCTAAATCGATCTTTGACATGAACATTTTCGGCATAGTTGAATTAAACAAGCTGGAAATGCAGAGCTGACACTTTCAAACTTTCAGTTCTTCATATGCAGCTTTAACTGATAACAACTTATATTTTGTTCTAACCATGTTTTAGGGGACATTTAGTAAAGTTTGGCTACATGTCTTGTTTATTCAGTGTTGAATATGACTTCAGGCAACAGGAAAAAGGCTTTTTGGACGTTCTGAACCGCTCACCAGATCATGACAACACTTTATCTGCACATCTTGACCGGCCTTTAAACTTCAACCTGCTCAGAAATGCCATTATCAAGAACTTGAGAAAGACTAAACTGAAAAGCAAAAAGTTTGGCAAGACCCTGCTCAAGTGGCTTCCAAGGAAAATTCAGAAAGCTTAGAACCAGCAAGAGTCCCATAGAATCTTCCAGAATAGACTCTTATCCAGAAGGATTTCACCTTCCTGCAGTGTCAAAGCTTATAGATGGGATTTTGTACACGCATTTCTCCCTGATATTTGTCACATTCAGCTAGCATTATTTTGCTACAAATTTAATAAACAAAAATAAATTGTATTTTGTTGTAAACATACCTGCATTGACTGTAAAGTAACCCCATACGATTGGTTTATTAAAGTTTTATAAATGACATTTGGTTTCTTTGCACTGTTCATGCATTAATGCAGTTGATCAATACTTTTTGTGCTGTTACCTGCTCACTCTCTGAATAAATGTTGAGTACAAAATATGTTCTTGCTTGATGTGCTCACTGCTGGTTGCCTGTAATTTCTCCACTCCATTCTAATTTCATGACACGCACAGCATCCGAACCTTTTCACAACTGTCATCTGGTGACGCCAGCGCAGGAGATTGAGAAACATCCATTGTGCCTTTGCCAATTGTGCTGATGGTCTCCAAATCCCCAAACAATCTGTACTTCATAAAAGGTTTCTTAGTAAAACAATGACATGACAAAAAGGCTGCACTGAGGCATGAGTCACAGCCAGAATGGTCATGTGCATGTACACTCACCCATGAACTGTGACATAAAAGACAAACTCTGCATGGATAATTTCCCTATTTATTTAGTATTTTTACCACATTTGGTAACTGAATTTAATGAGTTAGTATTAGACTAAACCTTATGAGCATGAGGAACATACATATACACAGTTGATCCGAGTTAGACAGCAAAGGAAAGGTTGTGATTGCGAGTTTGCAATAAGCTGCTTAGCCTTGAATTAAAACAGCTTCAAGAATAAAATATCACCAAGTGAAAGCGAATTCCTGCAAAATGGCACAAGAGGGAAATATGGGTTGAAGCTATTACAGTTGAAGCCTTTATTATTAAGCAGATATTACATCTCTGCTACCAGGGTACATTAAACTGATGTAAGTGGTTTCAGGGTTCATTAAAAAAAGGAGCCCTGTGCAGTAAATTACAAAGATGTACAGAGGATCGATAGTAAGACATTCTAAAATAGATTATTAGCAAAAGCAGTCACATCGATTTTGTTCATGATTGAAATTATAAATTAAACAAAAGGGACATTTCATGTGAAAGAGTTATCATTCAGTTTCTATAATTCAGAATAAATTCAATATATTCGTCTAATTTGTCATTGGCTTCATTGAATAGGATTAAATCAACTCTATCCCAAAAGAAAACTGTAGAAAATTTTCATAATCTAAGTTTAATCATGTAGAAATAAAAAAGAAAACTGTGAATGTGTAGAGACTTTTAATCAACTGAAAATAGAGGTTTAACTGATAGAATATATATCATACAATTAAGGGATATTTAAATCGTCCTTCTGAGTGAAACAGAACAACAGGGTGTGGACATTTCATACATTCTGATATTTGTGTCCCCTGCTAAGGTTCTGCAGTTATCTGCAAAGGTTTTGCTCATTTTGAAAAGTGGTGACTGAATGCTGCACTAGCAGCGGGTCCCAAGCCCCACAACCAAAGACAAATGGGTCGATAAAGTGAAGTAAAAACCAACCAGACAGGATTTCGCACTTCAGTCCTTTCAAGACTGGTGAATATCTTTCCCAGAAAAAAAACGCAACCCTTTCTTTATGAAAACATTTACAAATCTTACTAATATTAACTACAACCCCTTTGCGTCCCTTTGCAGTGAGATACCTGGATAGAGCTGTGCGCTGATACCTGACAAAACTCTCTATTCAATTCAAACATGTCTTCTTTATTTCGAGAAGTAATTAGTCACTCAGGCAGGTAGGCCTACACACGTTTCCACAGTTCATAGGTAAAACTTATAGATCATATATCAGATACGATAGGACAGGTCTCCCATCTTCTAAATCATGTTGTGCTCTTACTTCTGCCCACCATCTTCCTTACATGGTTGGTTTTTATGTTGTTTGACCAAACATTTTTGAAGCTGGTATTCATGAGAAGAGATTTAAAAATGAAAAGAAGAAAGAAATTGACCTCGACAAGGACGACACTGCTTAGTGAAAAGTCTGATCCTTGAAACGTATTAAAAACATGTCACATGTTTTCTAACCCAAACAAAAGAGAGAAGATTTGGAGTGAACTAATCTGTTTTAGTAATATCCATCCATCCATTGTCTATAAGTTCAGAAGCTGTAGTTGAAATCGGCCACAGAAATACTTCGGAGTTCAGAGAGAAAATCATTCCGCATCCAGTCTTGGCCATAAGTTACCTCAGATGCCTTGAAATCCCAATTGTTCTGTCTCTTCAGTCTACACGGCTAGAATCGGAGATGGACAAGCATGAGGCATAACGATGGGGGACTGAGGGGAGATGGTAAGAGGAGGCCTTGCCCTTACGAGCACAGACTGAACTCCTGTGAGGCACAGAGTGTTGACACTATGGCGGTAGATTTTCCAACTCCACCGTACAAATCTACCGTGGTCGTCTGCATTCCCCCCGAAGGGCCGAACTCAAAAAGCAACAGATGACAAAACAAATAAGGATCACAGCTGGAAAAGGCAAAGAGACCTTCAAAGTTTGGGCAGGATGCTGAAATTGGGTTAGATAAGGGGTAAAGTCAAAAGACTTGACCGGAATGCAAGAAATTTTTATCTCAAGACGGAAAGCCCAAATGACTGTTTCAAATAAACGCAAAAACAACTCAACGTCTTCTTTCAATTTAAAGTTTAGACTGAAGGAACCATAACGTTGTGGCATTAGACATGTTATTGTCTCCAGTTGTTTCGTATCATTAGCTTCAAGGCATAAGATACATTTTACAAGTCCATGAAAGAAAGTAAATTCTAAATTATTCCTGAATACAAATTAAGATCTGATTCAAAGCCTATTAAAAAATCTGATGTTAATTACTGAAACACAAATTATTCCATGTACAGTAAGGTTAAATGCCCTAAGTGCCTTCCCCACACACAAAATTGTAACCCATGTCTGCAGCTCTCTACACCCATCAGCCTCTTCAGTTCATTATTTTGGTTCACTGGTCTGTCAGCCTGAGGTCCAGAGGCCTTCAACATCCCCAGAAAAAAAAAAGCCATCGGCAGTAGTGGCTCAAACAAGCTATGAAGCACACACTGCAGTACCTGTGCATACAAAAAAAGACAGGGCTGAATTTAATCTTTCTGGTAAAGAACTTCTTTTACCTTTGCTTTATCTATGATTTACCGGTAGGTTCACGTCAATTGACACTGAATCTGTATAACATTTTAAAGCTTTACATGTCATTTCTTTAACTTAATCTTAAACAGAAATTTGTACTTTATGATATTTCACTCACAAAACTGCTCAACAACGGCAAAGAATAAATAAAAAATTTTGAGAAGTTCATTTGTGACAAAAATCATAAGAAAATAGCAATAGTGGATGGAAACTACATGATTTACATATATTTCTCCATAGTAATAGGACTATGTTGCAGATTACATCAAGGCAGGGATCCAGGGAAAGAGTCTTTTTTCTTTCTTCTTTTTTATTCCTAAGGGTACAAAGGTGATATTTTAAAAAGACAAAGGTTTGGAACCGCTGACAGAGATGCGAAATGTAGCTGTCCAGGCAACTTGAGATATCGATGACAAAAAGCAGAGTGCAGACAGGCAGGCAAAAGCCCACGGAGTGGATTGGTTCTGGTTTGGACCAAAGGGAGGTGATGGAGGTGCAGGTGTGGCAGGATGAGCAAATCCATGCGGGATATCAGGAGCACTCAAGAGAAAAGTCGTTTATTGTTTATGGGCAGAGTGACTTAGTTTTTTTATTTTTCCTAATAGTTGGCCGCTAACATTAATTCATCGGGTCATTTGGTTTTGATCAACACTGTAAACTAATGCAATTCTTATTCATCTAAATGTGGACTATGTTTAAATATGGCAGCAAAATATTAAAAGTAACTAACTCGTCTTTAAATCTTGACTTGCCGTGAATAGGCACATTAATAGAAATCATCCCATCAGCACAAGCCGAAAATGAAATAAAACCTAAAGTCAGATCATTGTAATAAACAGATCGTTCAGGAGCTTTGCAGCTTGAAGTTTTATGTATATTTTTGTCTCTCCCTTGACAACCGTCACCAATTTGAATTCAGGTCATACGTGATGTTGAATGTGGTTTATGTGACGGTTCTTTACAAATATAAAGACCCCAGAATGCATTTGGCTGTACTGGGTGGCTAATGTCCGAGTAAATTATAGATGTGATCACGATGTCCTCTGAAACGTTGCATGTTTCTAAGCATTGCTAAACTGATAGGATTTAAATTTGACCCCAGTGTCAGAGGATAAGTGGATAAAACGCTACAGCAGATAAATGCCAAGTTTTAAGTTTAAACAAGTTTGTTCCTAGGTCGGTATGGCTCTGTTTAAATTTGCTCTCAGCTTTTCTCCATATCCATCAACGTAAACATCCCTGTCTCTTCCCGGCTTCACTATATATGGAAACATTGCTGGCGGTTTGATTCACAGACATAGCTAATGTCTGGCTTTGACAGGAAGACTCAGTGGCAGTACTCCTTGGGGACAACAAGGAGTGGAAAAGGGGCAGAAAGGGGCAGATTATGGTTCACTCTTACTCCTCCCCTCAGAGTTAAGCATATCCCAGAAGGGCTTTAGAGGAGCAGCAATCCACTGTGAATTAGAGAGATTGACTTCCCCTGGGACAGAAATGTAATACAACAGCACAAAGGCAAAGGAAGGAGAGAAGCTGGATCTCCTAACAGGAAGCCAGGCAAATGCCTGGAGTTTGTCGGTGGCCTTCAACACGATACGATTAGCTTGTAATAACCCTGCAGTTCAAACAAGGGCACTTTCACACCGGTCTTTCTTTGACAGCATCAAGTAGATTAATGAGCAGAAGTTTGAAAGGATAAACGAAGCCACTCAGGAGCAGGCAGAATTCATAGTGTGATGAAAGGATTCAGAAGAGACAAACT